CATCCATCTTTCTCTCAATTCCAATTCTCCATTATCCTTCTTTATGACTCTCTTATATTTTGTTAAGGATATTAATCTCAAAGAATCAAAAACTCAATATACTCTTGTGTAACTCAAAATAATAGATATTTACTCAATTTTAATATAGTATTGGAATTAGAATAACTATTACCAAAGATAAGAAGCCTAAAAAGTCTTCAAATAAGACTAACAGCTAGAAAGACATTGACAAGAGTGAAGAAGGCTTCACTCTTGTCTCCATATATACTATCAACTAGGAGCTATGTAGCAACATCCCATAGAACCTCCAATACATGTCCAATTTGTAAGACACATGAATTAACTTGCAGTGCAAATTTCTTGTATATACACCACATCATTAGCTTGTACTACAAGCTATCTACACATGCAACACATGGCTAACTTGTTGGCTAAGTTTCTAATCTACAAATCAATTGTAATACATGTATAAAGTCAAATATGTGTCTATGAAGCTTTTGAGCAGCTTCATTACAAGATATTATTAAATCTACCTACATTTATCTTCTATTTGACACTTCTTATCTAGATAAATATGTATGTCCATGATACATTCTTACATAAATACATTGTTTTCAGTCATTTATCTTTGTATTCTCTATTCTTTTTGTGTAAAGATTTAATATGTGAGAAGGGGAACTGTACTACTTCAAATGAATATATAAATATAAATATATACATCAAGAATGAAAACTTCATACTTAATATGTTTGTGTGAGCTGAATGTTGATCATTTGGACAAATTTTCTTTGATGTTGTAGGTTCAATGATAAAGTTTCCATACCACACAATGGCTATTTATTTATTCTTTTCTTTATATAATCTTATCATTTGCAAGGTAGAAGCCAATATGTCTTTTTTTTCTTTATGTTTAATTCTGTGTTTGATGTAAATCCAGAGTCAAGACTTTTTAGCTTTCACATCTTTCTCTGCAAGAAGGGTCAGAAGAATACTACTATTTGTGTACTTTTAGAAGCGTTTTTTTAATTTTATTTATTTTAATTTGATTTCTCCAGCCATTATCTCCAGCACTTAAATATCACTGTCAATTTCTTCTCAGTTTTCTTCATGTGCCCTCTATTTCATCCATCCATTTTTTCATTCATTCAATCCATCCAATCCAACTCCTTTTCAACAATTTGAAACATTTTGTGTCTTCCTTTGAATGATCTCACATGATCTCATTTCATTGCTTTGTGTATTGAAAGCTTACCTTGTATGACTTTACAATATATATATATATATATACATATATATATATACATATATATACATCATGATCAAAATGATGATAAAGACAATAAAGAACATGAAGGAAACCAGATTACAATACAATACAACACAATGGTGTAGGAGTAATTTATTTACAAAATTGCAATGGCCAGGAAGTGTGGGCACAGAAATGTTCAAAGTTACCACAAAATAAAGTGAGGAAAACGATACACTACATACATACATACATACATACGTTTTCTTCTTCTATGGATCAATAATTCTCATTAATGACGAATTAATCAGGGTCATTAATTAGTCTGAATTGTAGTGAAGAGGGGGCTGAGTCAGCGATCGGGGGCGGGCGGTCAACAGAAAAGGGCGAGTGGGTGACGTGGAGGGGTAGGAGCCAGGTGGAATCTGCCAGCGCAGCCAGGTGGAATCTGCCCTCCCACCCATGTGTCGCGGCTGGACACTGGACCCCTCCCCAAAAGGGGGAGGGGAGAGACCGGTACTAAGTTATGCGCGGGCCAACACAGTACTGTGCTCTCTCAGGCTTTGCCAACACTTTATGCTACCCTCCCCCTCCCTCCCCTTCACCTTTTTCGACCCTCCTCTTCCTCCTTCTGCAATGGCCGTTTCTTAAGGACCCTTCTTCTTCTGCCTTCTTCCCCACATGACTGTGTCCAACTCAGCCAGTGCTTCGAGGCACCCCCCCCCAAAACAGAGACAGAATGTCCCTCCCCCCCCCCCACTCGCTTTTCAGTTCGATGGCCATCTTTCTGTCTTTTCCAGCTCCATACCCAAGAAATGACTTTTTGTAGACCAATTCGGGGAGATTTGTTGATTGATAGGATCGGTGCATTGGTGAGAGTGGGAGGAAAGTTTAACTTAATCCCAACAAAAGGGGGAGAGGGGGGGATTTAGAGGTGGAGAAAGTTAAAAGTGAATGGGGAGACCAGTGGGGACATCTAGCCTGGTTGGCTGCATGCTCTATGCTTGCTACAACCACCACTGGGCAAGCATTGAACATGTGAGTGTGTGTCCAGAACTTTAGTCATGGGCTCGAATCCCTGTGCAGGCTCGTACAGCCAGCCAGCACTGGAGGAGGACGATGCATGAGTTCTGACAACCACTGCGGGGTAGTCACGCCACTCATCATCCCCATGTTGGATGGATGAAGACGATGGTTCGTTCGCCGATTGGATGATAAGTGGATGGATGATGAAAGCGGCTCTTCTACTGGATGAACCCCTCCTTTTCCTTTTCGTAGGACTTTTGGTTAACAAAACATTGAACCCCTTCACCGCACTTTAAAAAACACACAATATTAATAATAAAATTAAAATTGCATCTCCCTTTTGTCTTCCTTGGAAGATGGATGGCACTGCCTTTGTTGGGAGACGAAAGCTTTGATGGGGACTCCATTCATATCTAAGGAAGAAAAAAGGGTGATTTGTTTCATCTTGTGGGTGTTCCCATTCTTCAATTGAAAAGTAATAACAAGAGTTGCTGTTGGGTTCTATTTTGAAAAATGAGAAAATGGGAAAAAGAAAAAGTAACATCACTTCCAAAAAAAAAAACAAATATCCTTGTCATGCTTGAAGTTCTATGTATCATTCACCATTTTTATTTATTTTTTTATTTATGTATTTTCCGTTTAAAAGAATGACCACAAGTTGAGAAGTTTATGAACACAAGATCAAAGATTATGTGGTCTAAACAGATCAAAATGAATCTCATTTGATTCCAAAGTAATTTTTTAAAAACTTTGAGAACTTGGTGGAATTTGTATTGATAGTGGCTAGTCTAAATGGAAGCTACAATTTAGCATCTTTATTACCTTTCAAATTGGATACCCATGTGTGTGAGTTTGTGTGTGTGTATATATATATATATATATATATATGTGCACATATGGAAATGGAAATAAACTCAAGTCTGATTTTTGATGAATGTGGTGAATAAATATTATAAATTTGGGGCTTGTAATTCATGATAAACATTACCCCCTTATTCTAAACAGCTGTATCCTTGAGTAGATATTTAAATCACACCTGATAGCAAGTATATATAGCTGAATGAATTACAGAATTGGTTCATATAAATCGTATTGTTATTTTTATAATATACTGAAATATAATTGTGCCAATTGTTTAATGGATTGAATTAAAGATATTTGAGAGCTGAGTTGTGAAGTGAAAAAAAATTTAATAACATTCTATTAATGTAGTCTACATAAATGTAAGTGGAGGTGCTATTTGGTGAATGGAAACCACCAAAATCAAGTTTGAAAATTTTACCTTATAAATACATATATTTCCATAATTTTTTATTTGATGTTTTTATTGACATTGTCTACTTTGAAAACATAATGTTTTGAAAAAGAAAAGAAAGGAAAAGAAAAGGATAACTGTGATTCCAAAATGCTGTAATTACATGAAAATAACTATTATAAGTAACACTATGGATAACATAATATTATATGTATATCGACTATGGGTACATTTAAAAAGAATACATCTAGTTATGATATTCATTGTTAAAAGTTGAACCAGTCAATTTCTTGTTGTTCATAATAATAAATAAAAATTTGGATTTTGATTCCTCACAGGAGATTTCTACATCTTAGACAAGTTTTAAAAGAGTTGGTGGATGAGATCTTTAAAATATAGAAGGAGTAGTTATATAAATTATGCACTGTAATATACAAAAAAATATTCATATTAACTATTTTAGTTTTTTACTCTACAGTATATGGTGGATTTAAAATAAACTATTTCATCCATGTGAAAAGAATAAGTATCAGTATTTAAATTCAAAATTTTAGATGCTGTGTATGTGTGTGTGTGTGTATATATATATATATATATATACATATAATAATCATAATCGAAATTTACATATATCCATAATTGGAAATTCTCTGTGTTGTGATTTTTGTTTGTATTGGTAGATAAAATTTGTAATTTTCTTATTTGTAGATGTATGTTACATGTGTTAGACTATTTTAAAATTGGATCGTATTACATAATTTTAGATGTATTAGTTCAAAAATGTGTTTACATTTGTTAATAAATATGAGTCAGAGTCTAAAATACAGATTGGATCCATTGTCAAAAACAAAAACAAATTAGACGTTTATATATATATATATATATATATATATATATATAAATATAAAGCCTATTGATTTCAAGGTTTGAAACTAAAAATAACGTTTCATGAATGTTAAAAACAGATATATATATATATATATATATATATATATATATATATTCAAAAAAATCCATTTAAATTACACTTTTATGTGTTGTAGAATCAACTTCAAGGTTTTGGGGTTTTATTATTTATTTATTTTTAGTCTCGTAACCTAACATTTCTGACCCTCAAATAAAAGATGAAGACATCACATTCATGTATAAATAAAAACAGGTTCAACCCCATGTAGGATAATTTTTGTACTAAAGCTAAGAAGTGTTAACGATGTGAGAAATATTTCAACGGTTATAGGCGCCACACAGGTGAACACGTTCCGATTGGAAAAGTAGAAAGCAAAATTCGTTCCAAAAGGAAAAAGTAACGAGAACGGAACAGCATAAGTGATTAACGAATGAATGGGGGCATGGATGAAGGCCACGCGGATGAACAAGGGACGATGACAGTTCATCCGCGTATTGTTCGTCTGCGTATTGTTCGTCTTTCTTTGTTTATTTGTTTCTTTTTAAGGGCTTGGCTATAAAGTCTTGTTGTTTTTGTTGTTGTTGTTGAGCTACTGGTTGCTTTTTTTAGCTCGACTCTTCCAGAGTATGCAGGATTCCTTTGGGGTTGTAGTTGACAGGAGGAGCATCATCAACAATTTAGCGATGACGACGGATGCTTTGAAGAAGAGGAATCATGCCACCTTCATTCGCGTAACAGTATCAGAATTACCGAAAGGGCATGCAGGAGCTGTCTCGTAATCTTTGTCTTCGCAGGCCTTGCATCTTGTTAGTTAACGCGCCTCTGGTTACAACTACTTGGAGTTCAGTGTGATTGAATGGTGTGGCGTCTGGACCGGTGTTGCAGTGACGATGAAAGCCTGCGGAACTGAAAAGGGAGAGTAGGGAGGGAATGGAGTGGAAGGGGAGGGGAGGGGAGGAAGCTCATCGAGAATGTGGAAAAAATTCTGTTGTTAGCTCGTTGGAATGGCGCATTTCGCTCTCCAGTTTTCGTCTTTAGAGGAGGAAGACGCGGTGTTTTGGTGCTCGGGAACATTTTCGTACAACATGGTGACTGTTGTAGATCATCGACGAGGAGTTGGATTGTGTTGCGGCTGCGCATCTCGTTTCGGAACACGGCTTACGTGAGGAGCGAAAATTTACACTTTATGAGTTCGTAGTTGGCGTTTCAATCGATCTTTCGACCGTTTCCCTACTCCGGATTCTTTTTCGTTGGTCGAGTTGAGTACAGGAGAATCAGTGGATACGGACAGTGGTACGATTAGTAGCCCCTCTTTGTTTAATTTGGATCTACAGTGCGCAAGGATTGCCGGTTTTCTCGTTGAATTTCATCATCGACTGCCATATGACCATCCCTTGGACAGGGGCTTAAAGTCTTTCAAACGAGGTGGAGATGGAGACAGTGAAGTATAAGTGAGGTGTCGTTCTTTGTTCAAATCAGTGAGAACAGCAACGGAGTTTTGTGCTTTTACAGGGATGGAGTGGAAACAATCAATGCCTCACAGGTAGACAAGGTCAGCTCATTTGAGAAAACATGTGGAAAATTTTCGCCTCTAGTATTTAGTTATGCATGAGTTCCAAATCTCCCTTTCCGTGAAGTTCTGATTCTACAAGAGAGTTCTTTGGTACCTTGCGATGTACTCCAATCCTCCAGCAAGGCTCTCTGCCTCAGGCCACGTTTCGTCTACCATGGACCCAGGTATTGGTATTTCTATCCTCATTCCCTTTTCGTGTGCAATTTTTCCCTGCCCTTCCTTCAAATCCATTTAGTTGAAGTCAACTTTGAAGCTCCCAACCAGTCGACCGATGCACAGAGTGGCTGCTCATCCTTATCTATCTGTTCGCCAGACTAATGATAGTCAACAAAGATTGTATGGGTTTGTGTGCCTCTAGAGACCATGCCAGTCATGATTCTTTTGACAAATACTTTTGATCTGTCCAAGAGTTGAGGATGGAAGATTATGTAAGCAATTAATTACTTCGCAGTTATTCATTAGTACAAGAGAACTGTGGTGCTTGATCGAGCAGTTATTACTACAGTACCTGAGCAATACTAGAAGCTTTAAATATCTTGTACTTGGCATTTTGAAGTTCGACAAAGATCCCCAATCATGATTTACACTTGTTATGCTGGATACAATATGACATCGAGTACCTCGAGAACATTTTCGTGAGAATGAACCCTCCATCGTGGTAACGTCACACTTCCTTTAAGTGTGGCAGAAGAAGTGAAAGTCACTAACTCCAATGCTGCTTTAGATAAGCTATAGAATTCGCGGGATATCTGTCTGAATGTCGTATCTGCCAAAATTACTTTGCATTACATGTGGCTTTTTCCTGTGCTTGTGTTCTTCTGACTGTTAGATGTTCCCTTCCCCTCAAACACATGGCTTTGTTCACAACGGCAATCATTACTGTTACATTGGTTCCTTCAATTCCTTGATTCATAAACGTAAGAATGTTGCTTATTTGTGTCGGAAATTTATGTCCATCTACGTTTAGCACATTTTGTTGCTCCTCTTTACCATTTTGCTGCATTGCGTCGCAAATTCTTCAAGAAATGCTACTGGAATGTTTTGTGGGAGCATTTCATGTCCTATGATGAAGATTTATGGTCTCTCTAAAAACTTCTCTATCATGATTTCAGTCAGGGAACCTGAAATTTGATATCAATCTAGATTCTTAAAATCTGCTGTTTGAACTGTTTTAAAGACGTGGACAGCTACGTTGCAGGTCATTTTGAGCTTATGTCAGTTTATGATGGCAGTTATTTCTCTTGAACAGTGAATTGTTTTGAATAGGTGCCAGAGTTTAAATGGTGATAAAAGTTTCTTTCTTCTAACATTTGATGCATGTAGATCTTTTCCACTGGTTTACTAATCATCCTATTCATTGACGAATATTTTGTAGGGGGTAGACGAAGTCTGAATTCTGAGCTGTGGCATGCATGCGCTGGATCATTAGTGTCTCTGCCTCCTGTTGGAAGCCGTGTTGTGTACTTCCCACAAGGTCACATTGAGCAGGTGTGTTTAGTGGATCATGTCGTTAAAGTTGAAATTTCATCGTTTTTGGAAGGCTCAAGATGTGATCGACCATATGTAAATGTGTTCGTGGTTCATCATGTCTTTTGTGATTGTGGATGCAGAACTCATATAATTGTCCAAATTATAATTTTGCATCAACGTGTTCGATTTGTTTTGTCGGAACTATTTTACGTTCAATGCAACCAGTTTTGTAGTCTTTTCATCTTGATCGGAAAGAAACTGCTGTAATTGTGTGGTCTGTATCATGCTTGTCACTTACGTAAGCATTGTGGGATGCTGTAAGGTGGCTGCATCGACACAGAAGGAGGCTGACGTGCCCATTCCGAACTATCCCAGCCTCCCTTCTCGACTTTTCTGTTTACTTGACAATGTCTCACTTCATGTACGTGCTGTATGAGAAGCAAGCCGGATCATGACTGTTATAGCCTAGTGACCTAGGCCCAAACAATCATCATCTCTGCAGAGTTAGAATTTGCGTTGAGTCTTCTACATCGTGGACAATGAGCGCAAATAGTTTACATCAGTGATTTTTTGGTGTATCATATCTCATGGTGTGCAATAGACCATTGTTCCATCACAAACGAAGCATTATATTGCAATAGTGATTTCCATGATCCAATTGGACTTGTCTTTGTGTCTCAGTTCCTAAATGATTCGTAAGGAAATGTCGACGGGCTGGGAGTCTATTCCTCATTGAGAGTTTTTGCTGCAGGCTGACCACGAAACGGACGAAGTTTATGCCCAGATGACTCTGCTACCTATTCAGAATTCTGTAAGCCGTCCTGATTACGCCGTCATCGTTTTTTAGCATATTTGTAAGGGACGTCTTTTCTTTCATTCTTTGTTTTCAAACATCCATGGATATGAAGTTTGAAGTTATGTATCCCATTCGTGACTTGTAGGAAAAAGAAGCCTTGCTAGCACCAGATTCAGTAATTCCGAATAAGCAGCCATCAGAGTATTTTTGTAAGACCCTCACTGCCAGTGACACTAGTACCCACGGTGGCTTTTCAATCCCACGGCGTGCTGCTGAGAAAGTTTTCCCTCCCCTGGTATGGTTCTTCCTCTGCCTTGGGCATTTAAGGCGTAAGGTTATGGCAATGATTCAATGAAGACGCGATGACACTTGTTGATACAAAAGTCTGAGTCTGTTATTGTCATGGTTGTGTTGGTTGCTCTGAAATTGAATCAATTGGCTACTATGTTCCTATGCACAAGCAGTTTGTGGAGATTGTAAGTTTTAGTTGTGATATTTGCAGGATTTTACGAAATCTCCACCAGCCCAAGAGCTTGTTGCCCGAGATCTTCATGATCAAGATTGGCACTTCCGTCATATTTACAGAGGTAGATATGCAATTTCTTTTGTACACATTCATTAACTTAGATTTAGCTACGACGAACGCAACTTTACTTGAAGATGTAGATGAATACGTTAATTTATGTTGTTCCTGAGTATGATTGTGTGCTTTTTCTTCCAGTTTAATTACGAATTTGGCCTTCTGTTGGTTGAGAGAGGGAGAGAGGATACTGGCTTTCCATCATTACGATAGTGAATCCGCTTCCTCCTGTGGCAGGATATTAAGAGGCCCGCTTTATGGTCGTTTACACGTCTGAACGGATGTTTATTCTTGCAACCACAGAATATGTCGTGGTATAACAACGTTTGCCTGGACTGGAACAGTAGCATATTTTTGATTTGCCATTCGTACAGGCCAGCCGCGCAGGCATCTTCTCACAACCGGGTGGAGTGTGTTCGTCAGTATAAAGAGACTGCAAGCAGGAGATTCGGTCTTGTTTATTAGGTGCTTATTCTGCAACGAACCAATACTAGTAGGACATTGTTCCAGTACGTTAAAAAATGCTTTGGTCATTTCCTATATTCTGTCTATTATCTATTTCATGTTTACTACATGAAATCAAATTGTGCAATATGTACCCCACTGAAAGTCCGTTAGAAGTGAATAGTGATAATTATGACTGTGGTCGATATGTTTGATGTGTGCCGTTAATGTGGTTGTAGCAATTGCTCTCTGTTGCTAGGGACGATAAAGACCATCTCTTGTTGGGCATAAGGCGGGCAAACAGACAACAATCGGTTATGCCATCTTCAGTGCTGTCTAGTGATAGTATGCATTTCGGGGTTCTTGCAGCTGCCAGCCATGCTGCAGCTACCAGCAGCCGCTTCAAAATTTTCTATAATCCGAGGTGCACATGCCCATACTCAGTGTCTAGGAACTTTTCATTTAAGATAACGCTTGTAAAATGGAAAGGTTGATGCGCTTGACACTCTTGCAGACTTTGTGAATATTCTTCCAAACTTTGCAACAATATTCTTGCTGTAGAAATTGTTTATTTGACATCTAAATCTTATCTCTATGTTCAGAATTTTGTGTTTCTTGCTTGTACAGGCCTTGTTAATCTGAAGCCATTGGTAGCATGTAAATTTGGAAGATTCTATATATGTTGACTTTTTTTTAAAAATCTTTACAGGCAAAGCCCTTCTGAATTTGTCATTCCTCTTGCAAAATATCAGAAGGCTTTATACAACACACAAGTTACATTAGGTATGCGCTTTCGGATGGCGTTTGAAACGGAGGAATCGAATGTCAGAAAGTATGAGTATCAATCTTCACTTTCTCAGTAAACATACGTGATTATTGACTTCGTTTTCCGACTTCCTTTGGTTGTTACATTGTTATTACTTTTAAAATTTAAGATAAGTTAACCTCGATCAGCATTATCTTTGTCAGATACATGGGCACAATCACTTGTATAGGGGATCTTGATCCTGCCAGGTGGCCTAAATCAGATTGGCGCTCTCTCAAGGTGTGATCCCTCATGTCCAAGTTGTAGGGATTTATACGCTTTTTTATTCTGTTTCATTTCTGGTTTTCATAACTTATTTATTTATTTATTTTCTTATTTGTTAAGTAAATATTAGTAGATGAATTGTAATAGTAGTAGTTATTATTGTTATTATAATTCATCTCATTTTCTCTGAATTTCTTTTATTGGGTTGGCTGTACAGGTTGGGTGGGATGAATCTATAGCTGGTGACAGACAACTCAGGGTGTCTCTTTGGGAGATTGAACCTACACCAACACCATTTCTACTCTGCCCTCCTCCAGTTGCCTTAAGGTCGAAACGTCCTCGTGGCATGCAAGGTAAGTGTGACTCTCCATCGAGGGTGCCTTAGCATTCTTTTCAGTTAGAATTTCAGAGTATAGTAGTGGGATATTCCATTCTTTATAATAGAAGTACTTCTACATCACTCCTCTTTCTTCTTGGGTCTCGAAACAGGTTGCGTGCTTTTTAATGCTTCGAAAGGCTTTGATGGCCAAGTTTTGCCGAAGACGATTGTGTCTCTTTCTTCCGTAAGACTAACCTCTAATTCGTCTCAACAGAAGAAGAAGATGCTTTGGAAATGTTGATGAAGAAGTCACATATGTGGCCTCACGGGAGTGACCCATCAGTGTCACTTAAAGTTGGTGGCTTGAGATTGGACCCTCTTTGGATGCGACTGCCGCAACCGAGACTTGGACCGATGGTATCTTCACCTCAGAGTGGGTACTATCGCGCACTTGCAGCAGCAGCCCTACAGGAAATTCGAAGTGTAGATCCTCCAACCCAATTACTACCTCAGTCAGCATCCTCGTCTCAGCTCTTCTTTGGTCAGCCGCAGTCTCAGTCTCAACCTCAGCAACTCATGCAGCATATCAATGACATTCCAGGCCCTCTATTGCAGTTGACGACCAGCCAAACACAAACAGTGGATCTAGCCAACCCTGTTGGGCCATCTTCAAGTTACAGAGAATCTGATATGCACATGACTTCTCCAACTACTATGTCTAACTCCCTCGCCTTACAGGGAATGATGAGAAGGGCTTCCACTAGTGCCACTCTTAGTTTCAGTGAAGGAAATCAAATCACCAGTTTGATGCGAAAAAGTCACAATGGATTGCAACCCTATGGGACAGTGCAAGGAGTGATTCAGGTACTTGCAGTTGTCCTTTGAGTAGTCCATGGTGAGCTAGCCCAGACTATGTTTAACGAGGTAGTCTTTCATATTTTTGTCTTTGTTACATTTTTCCAATCAAATGTGAAAATGCTTGTTTCTTTTATGTGTTCTTCAGTTGAACAACAATACGTGATATAGGTCGAGCTCGCTCTAGACAGAGCTCAGTAGTAGAGTTGCCAGCCCTTTAAGGGGCAGAGTGATCATTTTCAGTATCATTGTGCATTTGAAATGAGCATTGCTTATGAGTCAGTGATCACTCGTGAGGTTGAATAAATTTCAATGAAATTGGCTTTTAGGAATGGTTGTCTTTTCAATTTTTTTTACCCCGTCCGTAATCGGAGATGACAATCCGACACAATGCTTCTTAATCTTTTAAGTCATTGGAACTCTGTTACTACTATGATAGCTACATATCACCTGAGGTCTACGTATGAGTGTAGGTTTAGGGCCCGTAGATATCTGCAAACATACTAATAGTGTCCACAACACTATTTGTGATAATTTATGAAAGTCCTCTGTTCTGTTGTGTGTTAAATTGGTGATGTATCATTTGAAGGTTATAACGGTAGCAAGGTGTTGCCTTAGGTGTATTGGTTTTGTACAATATGGTCAATTATTCCACTACAATTTTTAGGCAGCGTAACACCTCGTATGCAATTGGTGACAGGCTTCTACTTCCTGGTTTTCAAATCAATCCGACTCCCAGGCACTCATTTCATCCCAGCAGTCTCGTGTGGAGGCTTCCAGTGGTGGGGTGCCCGAGTCTTATGCTCTGCCTCAAAATAATGAATCAAGTTTACATCAAGGTCTGGGACATCAGCTCCCTTTTGGATTTCGCAGCAATGATCAGGACTCGGATCAGCTGCAAGCTGACCGAAGCCACCTTCTTTTTGGTATGTCTATTGATCAACCATTGGGAGGCTCAAGTGTTGTTTCTCCTCAATCTTACCGTAAATCAAAGGATGATACAGGCAATAACATGCTGTTAACTGCATACGGTCCACCAGTTACGCCAGATTCTATGAATAATGGCATACTATCAGGTGAGGGGCTGGACGGTAACGGGCTCTTTCAGCGTAATAGTGGATGGCCAGCAATGCCTGTTGCAATTCCTCCCCGCACGTTTACCAAGGTCCATTTCTTGAGCTCTTTGTTTTGGCAAGCTTTTATAAAAGATTTTTATGTATCTAAATTTCCCTGTATTGAACCTGCAGGCTTTCTTCTTATGATCCGCTCTTTTGAAATACTAGTATATATGTTCGGCAGTCTAAAGCAGACTTTAAGCGTCAAGGGTTGTGTACGGAATTACTTTTTTCATTTATCGTACCTGTTTTCAGGTACACAAGCTTGGATCGGTGGGGAGATCTTTGGATGTACGAAATTTCTCTAATTACACAGAACTCAGACAAGAGTTGGCGCGTAGGTTTCAATTAGACTGCCTGATGGAAGATCCATCCTCATCAGGGTGGCAAATTGTGTTCGTCGATAATGAGGATGATACATTGCTTCTTGGTGATGATCCATGGGAGTAACCAACTGGCTTCTTTTTGGTTTCTCTGCAGCTTTAAGCTTCTTTCCCACAAACATTTTTTTAGGAGCATGTAAAATTTTGTGTCTTAATTATGCTCATATCCACAAGTCTTGGTCCGTCACGTTACCAGTTGTTTGCAGCTTAGTCAGTTTTAAATGACTGTTGGTTTGCAAATTTCGACTTACACTCATGTGTGGCGTTCTTTTATACACAGAGAATTTGCGAAGTTTGTGAAAACGATCAAAATTCTCTCTCCATCCGAAGTGGCACAGATGAATCAGGACCAGCTTGAGATGTTGAACATGGTGCCCGTGCAACACATGCAGCAACATGGGCTGACCAGTAGTGACTCTGGAGAAACTCACCCTCAAAGCTCCCTTCCTGATTCTTCAAGTGGTGCGATGGATCACTGAACCGCAGACCAAGCTAGACAGCAGCGATAGAGACTGACTTTCGTGTTTGCCGCACAATTGGGAAGGAAGTTTGACTGTTCAATTATATGCATGAGGACTTATCAATCTCAACTCAAGCTCATGACATTACTGATCTTCCGCAGTAGGCATACAAGAACATGAAGATTTGTAACGGGAAATCATTAATCAAAGCTTGGGCTCCATCAGCATCGACCAGCATGCAGGGCCATTTTGTGTAGTCCTGGAACATATATCCTCCTGCAGAGATCTCAACGGTCAAAGAATGCGACCTGTCTTTGTAACACTGTAAGTCGAGTCGGTTTTATGCAGGCACGCACGAACAAGTACATTGGGTAGTACACAGGAGCTACTTTTGTGAGAGACGTTGTCTGAGGCTAGTGGCATGCACAGATTCGTGGTAGCAGCCTTAAAGCATCCCTCTCTCTGAATTCGAAGGCCACTTTTCTGATGCTGGCAAGCTGCAAGTAAGTACTGTCCGAGGGGCGAGATTTGACACCGTAGTGCCGTGTGGGATGTTTGGTGCAACATCGTGGCATTCTAGGGGATTAGTCACAAATTACATTCAGCTGTGAATACGTTACTTTGATTACCTCGTCTTCACCGTATTTGGGACTTCCAGTTGAACCTTTTAAGGTCAGCTGAATCTACATGTTGCAGAAACTACATCTACATATGAAACGCCGACATCGTTTCTGCTGGAATGGATCGACATCCAAGTATGATGAGTCGGACCCTGATCCAACTTCGAGATCTCTGGAATATAACCTTTGGTCGTCGTTGCAATTTCTTGGATGTTCCATTCAAAGATCGGTTCGTGATGCTCAAGACCACTGCCGGCGACAGTTAGACAAGCATTGGCTTTACTAGATGTATCCTGGTTGAATATGCAGATCGTAAGGAATGCGAACGATGGTATATGTGTGAAGAGGCGATGCCTTTTTCGCATGAGAGTTTCAAGTCTCTGGTCAAGTATGGTTGATTAGGATCCTCGGACCTTGAAAACTCCATGCTACAGACGTCCTTGCCAGAGCTGATGTTACAGTCCTCGAGGCTCGTCTTGGACACTTTCTATGTCTTGGTCCGAAAGGAGCGTGTCTCAAATCAGTGCCTAAAACGTCGAGGACTTTGCCACCTTTGCTCCTTAGGATTCGAGAATGACTGAAAGCCTTAGCATTGTGTCTCACATGGTATGTGATAACTCACATGTTCACCGTAGTAATTGTTCCCCCGATGTACGTGATAACCAGCAGCTTACGGATCTTCAGTTGATAGGGGAGGTCATGATAGCAGCGTCCTTTCACCACGCTTGTAGATGTGGCAATTGGGGGGTGTCCTCATGCTGCACACGACGATTTGATCCTAAATACAGCATTTGGGTCTTCATGAATTTGTGCCTGAATTTTCAGGTTCAATATCAAAAATGTTATTAGCTCTTATTTGTGGTTCTCATCGACCTCACAAGATGGTGTACTAACTTCATCTTGTAGTTTTTGGTCACTTTAGAGAGACTGCTTAACAGCAGCTGAAGGAATTATTGTCCATTATCGTGGCCACTTTGGCATCGGCAGTGTTGTTATTTTTAAAATTTCTGTTGGTTCCATCTCAACGAAGTGCTTTGTAATAAATTTTGAGACTTTGTGGTAGGGATTGTGAAAATAAAATATTGAAATTTAAGAAATCAATTTCTCTATACTTCTTATAATTGTTAGAATCAAGTAATGAGTTAATATCTTTTGACTTGAAAAAAAAGTAAAAATTGATCCATTTTGTGTCTTCTTTTCATTTTATAATATATCTAAAATTTTAGGATTTAAAAGGAGATTTTTTATTCATTGAGGAAAGGATTTTGGTAAATTTTTTTAACCATGTGTTTTTAAAGTGGATTTCTAAGTATATAGATCTTTTGAAGTCTTTATGCTATGAATGAAGGATTAGATGTATTGCAATACCCCTTGGATTATAAAAATAAGATGAAAGAAGTACAAAGAATCTAACAAGTTTGTAAGACACAATGAAGGTTGGATTTTAAATTTTGTACAATGAAGGCAAAATATAGTGGTTTAGAGCCACAAAATAAGATAACTCCTTAGCTAACAAGCCTCTTTATTTTATTTTTATTTAAGATGGCTCTTGAGTCTTTTATCCCTTACATCTTCTCTTACCAAACTTGCAATAAATAAATATATATATATATATATATATATATATATTCTTTTTCTTTTTCTTTTATATAAATTGATTGTTGATATGTTTTTCTTGTTATTATTATGTTTCCTAAGAATGCTACAAGCATCTCAAAATAGATTACATATTATTTTTTTGAAAAAAAAAACTAGATTGGAGTTAAACTTTCTTTTTTACTATGATCTTTTAAAATTATCATCTATTATTAAATATGGTTATATTTGTGGTTAATTAATAAATATCACTATTGATTGTTTATTCTATAGTATGATTTTTTATTTTTAATTCTAAACTTTAATTAAAGATTATTGAAGCAATATAAACAAACAAGTTTTTCAAAAATTAATTGATAGTAGAGATAGAAAATATTATGTTTAAAAAAATTGATAGTAAAGATAGAAAATATTATGTTTCTTTGAAATGATACTTTTATTATTATTTTCATCCCACTTTAAATGAATTTTTAAAAATTTAAAGAAAAATATTAAAAATTTATTTTATTTTAATTATGTAAAAAATTAAAAATTAAAAATAATTTTTAAGATTTTTAAGAATACATAATTATAATTTTATCTCAATTATGTGTATATATATATATATATATATATATATATATATGACACAAAGAAATTTGTATTATTACTAAAAAAATTAAACATATGTATATATAAATGCAAAAATAAAAGTCTATTGAAATATTAAATTTTTTTTTGTAATGGTATTATGCCAATTGTAGGATCCTAAAGGTAATACAGTTAACCCTTGTTATAATCAACCTTTTGGGACCACAAAAATTGTTTACTGTACAGTGTAGAATAGTGTAGGTGGTTCAAATTAGGACCAACAAAATGAATTGATTATAATCCAAAGTTGACCTTAACAAGGTGCACTATAACAAGTGTTGACTATATTATTATCTAACGTAAAATATTTCTATTTAAAAATTAAAATATAATAAAATAATATTTTCAATGTATTACAACAAAAATTTAGGACATATGTTATAAATATTATATAAAATATATAATTATTTTTTAATAAAAAGATCTTGAAAAAGAAGACAAAAAGAAGACAAAATAGTATTCTTAAATATGAACATATAAACATATAAACATTAGAGAGAATAATGTTCATTTATTACAACAAGTATAATGAGTTGTATGTGTTATTTATTCTTATCAATCAAACTTTATAGGGAAAAAAATTACTAATAAAGTATATCAATGGCTTATGTCTTTATAGTTTATACTTTTGGAACTAATAACCTTATTTACTACTTGTATACATATATTGGATTTTATCATGATTTTTTATAATATGAATGAATGAACCCATAAGAAGGTAATTAGAGAGAATAATAGATTGGTTGATGCAACAATTAACAAATTTTACTATTAAAAACCTACACATAACAAATTAAAAAACTAATAATTAAAGTTTTATTTGAAGTACAGAAATGACACAATTGTCTAAGAAGAGATTAAAAAATAATGTTATTTTTCTAGACAAGACATTTTAGAATCAAAATTGAAGTTAAAAATCCTTTAAGTTTTTTTTGTTACTATTAGGTACTTGATTTTTTTTCTTCTAAATTTTGCATGTTATTCTTATAAATATGGCATATAAAATCATTTTTACAAGCACCAAGTTTCTTTTAATTTATTCTTTTTAGTAGTAATTATAAGAATATATTATGTTAAATATAAGTTTTATATGCATTCAATTTTGTTATATTTATATATATATATTTATATATTTATATATATATTTATATATTTATATTTATATATATATATATTTATATATATTGCAATTCATGATTTTAGATTTATATTAATGTTATTATTTTTTCACATTACAACTTACTACAATTAGGCATTTGCTATTCAAATCTATGAAATCTAAGTTGAGGTTCTTTACTTGAATCGGAAGTTTATAAAACAAAAAAACATGAAAATGTCTTATTTTTCTTCTAAGAATTAATGACAATCATTTGAAAAAATCCTCTAAAGAAAAAGAAAAAGAAAAAGAATGAAAAAAAATCCCAAAAAAACACAACTTTGGAAGCAAGTTGTACTTAAACAACATGTGAACTTGCAACTATTGGAGAAAGTCATTCATTCTATAGACAATCATTGTATCTCACAAAATACACAATTAGGGTTTTTTAGAAAGAGAAATCACGTACTCACGTACCGCACATGGTGCATAAAATTACATATCATGGTGAGGAGGAGGAGGAGGGGAGGGGGGCATAATCCACGTCAGACTAGAAAATTGCCACATAGACCAAGAACGCCAACCGAGGTGGATCACTCAGTCCACATGGGCACCACCCCAATTGGTCGAACCAACCCCAACCCCCTTGGCCCCAAGGCTTAGCTGGCAAATCCCGGGCCGGGCCGGGTGGAGGGGCACCAGGAAGCACGGGAAGGATTGGTGGGTGCTGCTTCTGCTTACTTCGAAACAAAATTGCTTTTTGTGTATCTACGATTCTGTTGTTGTTTCTGCTGCTTCCGCTCTTCCTCTTTCTTCTACTTCGTCTTCTTCGTCAGCTTTTCATGGTGGTGGTGCTTCTATTGCCGTGTTGTTGATGCTGCAGTAGAGACTTGATACTTCCTCCCTTCAAACCCACTTTCGTGTTTTGAGGTTCCTCGGCGGCTTTGGGTTTCATTTTTCCATTGCGACCAGGTGCGAGGCTGATGATGCCTGTATTGGACCAATACCTTTCGTGCCTGTTTTCGAACTGCTTTGGTTTGTATTCGCGCCTTTTCTTTTTCTTTTTTTTTTTTTTTCGTTTTGTTTTGTTGTTGATTACGAAGTGCCGAATCGAGGCGCATTGCATGCTCCGGAATCGTGTTCCGTGTTTTGGGTTCGAGTGATTTTTCCATGGGTGGGCGTTGCCACTGAGGTGGAGGTAAACAAATGAGCCGATTTTGCGCGGGGGGGGGGGGTGCTTGTACAAAAACCGTGAATGAGTTCGCAGAGTTTTTGAGTTTGGAAGCGAGGGAGTACCGGCATTTTGGATTGTGGATTTTGAATAAGTGAAGAGTCTGGGCTGCTAGAGAAATGTTGGAGGTGTGGATTATAGCTTTGGTGGTGGTGGTGGGTGAGGGTTTGGCGTGTTGCAGAATGCTGCTCTTGTGGCCGTTAGTATTTGTAGTTCGGAGACAGAGGTGTTGTGGGTTTTTGAGCTGAGTTTTTGCGGAAGCCGTGCTGGCGACTAAGCTTGAGGTGTTTTTTGGACTTCATTGACGTAGTTGTGATTGCCACTGTCGAGAGAAGATTGGATTTGAGGTGATCCGTCGTCTCGGCATCGCACGTCTTTGCTCCTGAAACGAGCGCGCTAGTGTATCTAAGGTTACGCAAAGACTTTTTTTGAATGGATCCTCTGCGCATGGTTTGGCTACGGGCGGATTATGCAACAATTTTCTGCCTCAAACGCGAACTATAGCTTATCCTCATGTAGTGCAACTGAGTTTCACACTCTGGTAGTTCTTCATTACATCTCGTAAAGTCAAAATGCGTGACTTAATGGAGACGTGACATAAGAGTACATGGCTGGACGCCGGATGAATTAGCTTGATTTTTTCTTTGACGAGTCGTGGCCTGGATTGGGGGCAGGTGGTTGCTATGGGTGGCGCGGCGCAGGTTCGGATGCCAGAAGGACAATGGGATTGGCGGCAGATGGCTGCAGTGAAGATGTCAACGGAATACGACTCCGAAGGAAGTGTATTTGTGAACAAGATGTCTGCCCGGGTGCTTAATGGACTCGCCAAGCTCACAGGGTCTTTCCAAAGAGAGCCGTCAGGGGACCTCCGCTACCCTTTGATGGGCGTGGTGACGAAGTACTTGTCGGTGATGTATGATCATGAAGACAGAAACGCCCTCGTCACCTTCAATGCGGACGTTGGCCGCAACTTGTCAGTCAAGTACCTGCGAGATATCAAGGTATGCAAATTCCCCAGCTTTGTTCTGAGCAATTAGTCGCTAGCATTCTCGTCCGACAATAAACTAGAGCTGAAACACTGGTGGTTTTATTTTTTCAGGCCCAGCAAGGCGAACTGAAGCTTCAGGCACATACTTCGAACCTTAGGTATAAGACAGAGATCTCCTCCGACGTCCCAGCCACAACTTTGGTAGGTCTGAATCATTATTTGATTTCATTATTGGAATTACCACTACCAATTCTTTCTGTACTTCATTAGCCGCGGTCTGGGTTATTACGTTTCGGGAACCTCTGAGCCGTGGTTAGTTAATCAATTTGTGGTGCAGCCGAAAGTAGTGTTCACGTTCCCCGTAGGGCAATTGAGGGCCGAAGAGGTTGAGAAGGATGAGGAGCGAGCAATTGCTCTCAGCGGCTTCTTTGGCGGGAGTGTATTGAATGGTCAAGCTGTTGCAAGCTATTCTGATGAGAGTGCCACGTTAAAATACACATATAAGGTATGCATTCCTTTGTTGATATCTCTATTACTTACCACTCTTGCATGTCATCTGTGGGATCACCACTGCCCCTGCTATCATGATACACCTAGGGACATCGCATTTGCTTGCAAATTAGTGATTTTTCTTAGCTGCATTATTATCTGTCATGGGTTCCACCACCTCGATCTACTTTCTGAACATCTCAAGTAGGAAGTCCTTCATCATTTATTGGTCTTATACCTGGTGGCTCTATACTTCACTACCAGGATGAGGAGTTGACGTTGGTGCCATCAGTGTCTTGGCCTCGATTGTCTCCTTCGCTTGCTTTCAAGCGACAATTTGGACCACGTAACAAGCTCAGGTGCTAGCCTTTCTCGATGTCCATATCACTATCCCCTCTGCAGTCCTGTGCTAACCAAAATATCCAAGGCTTCTGAAGCAGAGAAACAGTATCTACAATTAGATTCACTACAAAAACGTATTTTTGTCATTATTTCAGTGGGAAATTGAAAGGTATCCTAAGAAGACAATGTTTGTGGTTTTAAGGAGACAGGACACAAGATTTCGAGGGGCAGTTGGGTTCTCAAGTGTAGTACTAGCCAATGGAATTCTTGTGGCATTTGATGAACTCCTCCTTATCATTGATTATTTTCCTGTGCATGGAACAGCTACTTCCATAACTTTGAGACAACGACTTGGAGTGCGGTATATAAATACAAACCAACTGAGGATTTCAAGGTCAAGTTGGGCTATGATTCTGATGTTCGCCTTTGCTGGAGTTCATTTTGGGTACGCGTCCTACTCCTACTTGCATCCACATGTTTGTGTCCTCAACCATCTTCTGGGTTACTGCACTTCGCCTTTGTCAAGGATATCTCAATCCATGTTCGTACGGGTTCTGCTATGCTTGCAGGTAGGGAAGGAGGATGAAGGCGCCAAGAACGCCCCCAGGAAATGCAAGCTGCAAGTAATGCTGCAAGTGCCACAGGATGATGTAAAATCCGGGGCTCTTCTGTTCAGAATGAAAAAGCGGTGGGATCTGTTTTGACCCTTTCGTCGACTCGAAGCTCGGTCCACTATTTGATTAAATCAAATTTGTGCCGACCCTCCAGTTCCACATTTTTTTTGTACTAGTCTTAACCATTTTTCTCTTTATTTGTCCCGACAGCTTTTGCTTCACCTTGACAGAGACCCCAGTGTGCTTCATGTGTTTGCCAGTTTCAGCAAGGCCATAGTAGCCCCTTTGTAAAGCCAAGTGCCAGCACAGGTGGTATGATGTGAGGAGCCAAAGACGGCTGCTAAACTCAATGTTTACACTACTCGACCAAAAACCTTTGTAGATTCTTCCAGCGTAACATCGTCAGTTTTTTCCTAATTTCTCAGTAAATTCAGGCTTCGGTTACACATGCTTTAGTGTTGCTAAACCTTGGCCATCTCTGCAAGGTCCTCTTTGCTCCATCTCTCTTTGTACAATATTGTGTATCTCGCAAGTATAAACAAATTCATTTCTCTCATCCCAATTGCTTGCTGCTCTACATGAACTCTATGTCCACTGATTAGACAACGTGAAACTAGAAACATGCTTGAGATTGGGTCTGGAGATAATGAGATCATTTAATCTGTCTAATCGTGTATGTTTTGTCACAGTAGCAGCCTTGTTTGCTGAATATTTGGTATTTCTTATCAACTTCATGAAAATTGACAAGTTTTTAACTTCTTCTGCTTGTTTTTTTCGAATGCACATTTTGTTTTTAGTAGATGTGAGATATTTAAAAATGAGTAAGAGAACGGTATCAGTGATGTTTTTTATGTTTTTTTAAAACTATACAATTAGAATATTGCAATATTACATTTAGTTTATTTGAATTTTAAATTAAATGTGTGTATGTGCACAAACTTTATCTTTGACCATTCTTAAACTAAAAACATGTTACAAAAGCAGTATCATGTTACCGTAAGCAATCATATTTAGGTTTGTTAATTTTCTGTTGTGATCTGAATTTAGGTGGAGTAAGAGTATGTGAAATTATTACAGAATATGATTTAATCTGTTTCTTCGAAATTCAATTTACATAAATCACAATTTTTTTAAAAATCATCAGTTAATGTGTGCGTCTCCGTTGCATTTGCTCCTCATTCACATGTATATATGTATGTATGTGAAATAGTAGGGTTCTTCTCAAAAGCAGTTGTTTTTTATTTTTTATTTTTTATTATTATTTTTAAAAGCTCTAGTATACTAACTCCTACTGTTCTATTTTTATTTAATTTTTGACTAAGAAAACTTAATGAGAATATGGCTTTCATACCAGAATTGAATTCTCAAACATTCTGAAAAATTCTTCACAGTTCTTTGCAGCTATGACTACCACAAAAGCCAAAAAAGTGAAATTGTAAAGTTCTGTGTATACCCAACTTATTATACTTTTATAGCATCATGAATAATTGATTAGGGTAAATTCTCATCTAATCAACTTGTTGGATTACTAATAAACAATCAATCTATCTGTTTTAATTCCTTTTTTACCGTGTTAATGTCTTTCCATCAATTTTCAGTTTTGTGGTTTTAGTTTTTAAAATTGATGTCAGTACTGTATTTTGCTGAAGAAAATGAGATAATATTTTGTCACCTATTTTTTGAAAGTAAAATTTTGAAAACCACTGTCATTTAACTTTAGTAAAGACACTGTCAAAAATGATTCAAGCCCATAGTTCTTTTCGGAAAAATATTCTACGCTTACAATATTTTGGAAAAAGCGTAAAATACAATCATTCAAGTATGTCCATTGCAAATTTTAAATCAGCACATCATACAAGGTTGAATAAATACTATCTGAATAAATGATTTCAAATGAAAGCATAGGCAACTTGGTGCTATAAAACATAAAAAAATATCCAAAACCTAAATTAAAAAAAAAAAAAAAAAAAAAAAACACACACACACACACACTCATCAAAAAAATGATAATAAGTCATTGTAGAAACCAACACCATAGCAATAAATTCCATCTCCATTTAATTCTACCATGATACCACTCCAATCTGCATTTGTTTTTGGTGATGCTCAAAAAGATGTCACATTATCAGCTTGTTTAAAAACTCAAGACATCAAAGTTCAACTACCTCTTCTACAACCATCAAAACAACACAAGTTAATAAAAATTGAATACAAAAATAAGAGTGAATGGTATTTGGATGCACTTGGGAATAAACCAGGATTTACTATGAAATTGGATTTAAATGTGGTTCAACTAAATAAAGACACTTGTGAACCCACCGAGATACAACTTAAGCGAGACAAGTTTTCACATTTTGACAAAATATGTTCTAAAATTTATAACCATGTGTATATGGGAAGCAAAAGTGTGGCAAAATGCCGCAAGACTTTGCAAGAAAATGGCATCACACATGTATTAAATTGTGTGGGTTTTGTATGTCCCGAATACTTTTCCAAAGAATTAAGCTATAAAACACTTTGGTTACACGATAGCCCTTCTGAAGATATAACAAGCGTTTTATACGACGTGTTTGATTATTTTGAAGAAGTTCGTGAAAAAAATGGACATGTATTTGTGCATTGTTGTCAAGGGGTTTCACGCTCTGCTTCTCTTGTAATAGCATACCTTATGTGGGTGCAACAACGTTCATTTAAAGACGTGTTTAAAGACTTGAAAGTTGCACGAGGCATTGCAAATCCAAACATGGGTTTTGCATGTCAATTAATCCAATGCCAACCAAGAATACATGCCACACTTATAAGTCCAAAGTTGGCTTTGCGGATGTATCAGCTTGCACCTCATTCTTCATATGATCCTATGCACCTTGTACCAAAGGCAATTGATAATCCTCATCCTCATGCTCTTGATTCTCGCATTGTTTTTGTTCTTATTGTTCCAAATGTATTTTTCTTGTGGCATGGCTCAAAATGTGATGCATACATGGTATCTGTGGCACATCATTTTATTTGTCAAGTTGTTAAATATGAGAAAGCTAAAGGAGACATCTTACACGTGGTAGAAGGAGAAGAACCACAAAGTTTTTGGACTTCTTTCACAAGAAACCATGAATCTTGTGCAAATGGCTTACAAAATCATAAAAATGATGTTTGTCTCACAAGTGAATTCAAAGCATCAACAAAAATAGTTTCATCATACAATGAAGACCTTGTAAATTATAGAAAAGCTAAGCAATGTGCTCTTATGCCACCAAAGGCAAAAGTAGATTATGGAACAATAACAGGACCATGCAATGGAGGTTGGAATTTTTTACCAAAAATTGACAGAGATGAATCAAAAAATAATATATTGAAAATTGCAGAAAATGAAGAGGGAAATGTTTTATCTCCACATGAAGGTGAAAAACAAAAAATAGAGGACAAACATGAGAATTTTCAAAACGTTCTTGAACCATCAAGTACTTTGGTTTCAAATAATGATTCACAAATTTCACTTTTGTCATCCTTTTCAAATGATTTATCTTTATCAAATTTATCACCATCATCTTTTGTGATGAAACTTCCACATTCATTGTGTTCATGTTTATTAAAGCGAGTTGCTTGTAATACACTTTTTTGGCATCCAAAAAAACATCTAATTTCTTATTTAATTTCAGCCAATTTATCTCAAATTCCTTCAACACCAAGGACCATTTTCAAAACAATGTCGCAAGATTTTTTTTTCAAAAGATCTTTTTCCCAAAAATTACCCATTGTAGCAAATGATAATAAAATGTCAATCTCACAAAGTTTTTTTACCATTGTGAGCAAAGACTTGTATTTACCAAAAGAAAATTTGAAAAGCATAATAGAGTGTGATTCATTGACATGTGCAACAAACATTACATATAACAATATTAATACATTGGAGACTTGTGTGCAAAATGAAAGGCTTATATCATCATTAAACACTCCATATACTTTCCAAAGAGGAAACCAAGGAGAAAGCTCATCTAATACAAGGGAAATAAGTGATAAAGTAGCTTACTCAATTCCTATTTTATATAAATGGCCCCAAATGGAAACAATTGCCATGTTTGATGTTGATGACCTTGATTCTAATGAGGCTTTTGTTCTTTTAATACCAAATGGTTTTGATAGCAAACAAGGTTGTTTGTATTTATGGGTGGGTTCTACTCTTATAGCAAAAGGAGATAAGAATTCTACTCTTATTGCCAGTGATATTGATCAACAAAGTGTTGAGCATTGGCAACAAGTTGGAATAGATTTGATTCATCAACTAGAATTGCATAAGGACACAAATTCAAAAGTAAGTTGATTTTCAAAACATTAAGATAAACCAAATTATATTAAGACTGTAAATATTGCATGTATCATATTTATTTGAGTGCACGTTATGTAGGTTAAAAAATGGGTTGTCTATATTTCTCTTAAAATAAATGATAAATACAGTATTTAACTTCAATTATAAAATAAAAAAATAAAAAATACTCAATTTGTTTGTATTTGCAGGTTGTCCTTGATGGGAAAGAACCAAACGAATTTTGGGATTACTTTATCAATGGATGAGTTTTGCTTAATGTTTATCAAATTCAAATTTAAGATTATTTTTTGATTGTTTCGGCACCTTGGTTCTATTCAGCTTGAAAAATTCAGAATTGTTTCTATTGATATTTAATTTAGTAATCAATTATGTCATTTACAAACAGAATTGTGATCAAAATTTATGATGTTTTTATACACCTAATTCAAAAAATTCAAAATTTGAAATGCCCTGAAAAGCTCTGAAATGCATAAGCTGGAATGTTTTGTTAATTTACTTTTTTTTATATTTTATATTTAGCTAAAAAAGGAAAAAATATAATAATCAAGGGGTATACTGTATTCATTGAAGAGAACTTCAAATAATTAAAGAATGGTAAAACATTCTTGTCAGTTATTTAATTTTGAAATCCATTTAATGATGTGATAGAATTGAATTATTCTAAAAATAAAATATCAGGAACAACACAAGTAGAGTTGATTTGTGTGTTGAATCGAAAATATTCAGCAATAACCAGATCTTTAAAAACTTGCATGATAAAAAATTGTATTAAAGTTATCTATTAAAGAATCAATCAAAATATTTAAAACCTGAATCGTTAATCATTTTAAACAAGTCATTTCAAAAAAATCTCAGAACACTTTTCTACATCCATATCATTAAAGCATTAGTTTTAAGCAGTAGTTGATATTATATAATATAGCTGTACAATTTGAGGTTTATTGAGTTCATCACATGATTGAATTTTGAGTAATAAACTCAAACTATGTATTTCATATCAAACAACTCCACTTTCTAATTGTCTTCATGTTATTGAATTTATTTTTTAAGCAACCGTTCATCTTATTAAGATAACTCCTATTAGCCCTTTGGCACATATGCATAAAAGTAAAATACAATAGACCTTTACAACCTTGCATTTTAAAGTACCTTTTGTTGCATTCCTATAGCCCTACACGTGGCAAGTTCCATCCTTTATGCTTTTATGTATGATCTTTATATAGAAAGAAGATCCTTAAAATCTTGCTTTGTTTGTTGTGTGGACTATTGATAACTTAAGAATATAAATAACTTGGAGAACAATAGAAACTTCAATTTAGTTTGTGATGGGTGGGTGAATAATGGTTTTTTTAGTGTCTTGTTCAATTGCTTAAAATAGTATAGCTAATGAGATTTTAAATTATAATGCTTAGATTATTAAAAAATATAATATTGATTTTTTTTTTCTTTTGATATTTTAAAAGTTTGAACATTAAGTTCACACTCTTTATTAATATTAAAGAAATTTAGGAAATCTAAATATTCATATATTCAACTTAAGATTTTTAAAGATTTTTAATTCTTAATTAAATTTGATATGATTTTTTGGATGTTCTACAATGCCATTAGATACTAGTTCATATAAATACTTTAGTCTATTTTATCTTTACATCATTCTTATTAAAGTTTTATGAATATTTTATTTATAGTTTTAGAAAATAGAAATAACAATTGATTTATTTGATTGAATATACTTTTGAGAATTGAAGTGATTCTTTTTATAATGCACTAAATATTGAAAGTGATAATGAGAGTGTCTACATGTTTCATCATCTTATTTTTTATCCTTTTGTATGTATATATATATATATATATATATAATTGTATCATAGCCAATTGTATATAAAAGTCATTAAATGATTTTTAGGTATAGTAGTTATTCAATTTATAATTTTGGTTTCGGAAATACAAAGCAATTAGTAGTCTTTTTGTAATATACAGAAAAGAAATTGATATTTCTATCTACGATTTTACTATTTCTATCCATAAAAGTATCAATCTAAAGATTATGAAATTATTCAAAATTCAATAAACTTATATTTTTTCAAAAAGACTAGTTTATTTGTATTTTTTTTGGATAAAATACTTATACCTTTACGAATATAATTAGACAAAATAAATGGATTGGAAAGAATTAAAAATAATATGAAAAAATAAAAATAAAATAAAATAATGATATTCGTTGGACTTTAATTTTCTACATAGATAGCAAAGTTACAATTTGTAGAAAGTAATAGCTTTTAAGAATATTTAGAATAATAAACACAACTTAGAAAAAAATATAATTTAAATTTAATTAAAATTATAATTTTAAATAAAAAAAATTTAATTTCAAAGAAAACTAATTTAAAAAAATTGGTATTTATTTAAGTATATCCATCCAAAAGAAAATTTATTAACTTATTTATCTATCTAGCTACTTATTTATATGATTATTTTAAAATAAAAAAAATTCAAATCTTTTATCTTTTCTTTGTTATCTTTTTTCTTTTTGTAAAGCTTGTTGCAAAAAAAAAGTTGATGATATAAACTTCTCTTTAACATTTATGTTTATTTATTTGTATCTAACACTATACATATTGCAATAATTTAATCACCTATAATAGAGAGACTACTTTAAATCCTCATTGCATTCTTCACACCATAGATATCAGTTTTGTGTTTATTTAGACATCTATTTTTTGTATTAGTTTTTTTAAAGCATTATATATTAAACACCCCTCGTTTAAACTCCAACCACAAATGATTAGTTAGAATTTTGTCTCATTTTGCTCACTTTCATATAGCTTTATTTTGCATTGTCTAAAAATTTAATTTTAATGCTTTGAAAGTAATTTAAAGCTTTTCTAGTTGTTCATTTCAACTTTTTTTATTCTCTCATATTAATTATTATAGTTAAAATTTATTTTTTTTATTTTTTTATAATTTTATTAAATATTATTACAAGCATTTTTTTTATATTTAAAGCTCTAAAATTTCATCAAAAATCATTAATCTTAAAAAACAAAATATTAAAACTAAAATAGTCTTTTTATATTTCAAATAAAATATTTTCATAAACTAAAGTTACTTGTAAATTTATTTATTATTATTTGATATACATCTATATAAATAAATAATAACAAACTTTCTAAATTGATATTGTTAAGTTAAAAACCTATGATACATACTTTCTAATAGAAAATTTATTATTTATTATAAAAGAAATACTCAATTGTATTTAATTTAAAGTTAGTTATAAAGTGAAAATAAAAATTAACTTTGGTTTTCAAATTTTCAAAAAAAGATAATAAAAAATTTACTAATATACATACATAAATACATATTTGAATTTATAATTAAAAATCTTCATTCAAAAATTGAATATTTATTTATGTCTTTTAATCTATCTAAATTGTATTCATCTATATTACAGTTTAATGATTCACTTTAACATGTTACTCCTAAAGCAGAGCAAAAGACCCCAATACTAGTGTATGTATAGATATAATCAATAACTACAAATCAATAAATTTAATATCAATCAAAATATGACACAAATAATTCCAAGTTCCAAAACCCATTCACCAAGTCTGCAGACACTAAACATTCTGCAAGACAGTGCTGGGAACAACAAACCAACACAAGAAGATGATAATTAGAAACCCACTAATTGTTCTAACTAAACCACAAGCTCTACACACATGGCTAACCCCACACAAACGAAGATCACTTCGCGATACAAAACCACATACTAGTATAACAGAAAAGCATATATTATAACACTTCATAATGTGAGCATTGTAACCAACTAAAACTGCCCTCAATCAAACAAAACCAAGGGTACTCTTAACATTCTCCCTGAATCAGGTTACAGAATGATTTCTACAGCTGCGTGCAAAACTGTCGACGCCCATGTGGAAGTTTTAGCGAAATTCTTCATGATCCAATGCAGAAATGGGTTTCAGACATAATGACATGAAAGATGCTGCAAAGACGTTGTTGCTGTTGTGCCAAATTATTGAGCTTTACTGTGCTGGTCTCCATGTTTTCAGAGGGTGATTGCATTATGCTTGACTGTTTTGCATTGCCTCTGTTCTGCTTATGATTTTTGTTGCACAGACTTCGCCGTGAGCTTTGATTTTGTTATCCAAGGCACGATCCGTGAAGGATGTCTGGCGCCATTGGCAACGTTTGTCAGGAGCTTGCGGAGGTCTCTGCGTCTCTAAAGTGCGTCAAGGATAAGCTGACGGCGAAGTTGGATGAAGCGGTAGGGAACATAGAAGAAGTGGAGAAGACCAGAGAGGCGGTCAGGGATCCGTTGTTCGATCCCCAGTTCATGGCTGACTGGAGTAAAGGCAGGGTTGGTGAAGTGGAAGATTTGATTGAAGGTTTGCGATTGCGTATTCGTGAGATTGGAGACCTGACTGCGGATCTCCTCTTTGATACGGACGAAATCGAGGCAGGAAATGTGGGTTCTCACAGCAAGGGATTAGAAGACAGTGACGAGATAGAAATATGAGAACTGTCAATGTGGAAATCCTGCACTTGAGGTAGTAATAAGTATTGTTTGATGTAATCGCCGAGACATGAAAGGCCATCTTTGAATGCGAGGCTTGAGGAATGTAGAGGGTCCTTGACATTATCCGTCACGATGCTCGATTTGCCACATCTATGCAAGCTCATGTATAAACTTTTAGGTCAAGAGAGAGAGGGGGAGAGAGAGAGAGAGAGTGAGAGCGCCAGTCGCTGTTAACGCATACATGGCAAAGGTTTGAAGCTATTGCTGAGGTAACTTGCCAACATATGGTTAAAAGATGGTTTGAGACCTCAAGAGGATAAATGGGGTGATAGACTTCTTGATAGAAGGATCTTCTAAGGATCAAGCGGTTGCACCATCAGCGCACCACATCGTGTGCTTTCTGATCAAATGCTTCAGTTATCCAAACTGAAGCCATGGCTGGTGGCAGCTAGCGTTTCAACTTGGCTGCGTCTGTACCATGGCTGCGGCGAGGATGTGGAGACATTTTTAGTGCCCAGGCATTCCCGTTGGAGTTGCTGGAGGTGCATGCAAACACGAAAGATGTAGGCGAGAAATTATGAATGTTTTGGTGATTGTAGAGAAAGCCAACATGACTAAACCATCCACTGATGATAGCCTTTTGCCAAAAAGCAGCGAATTCGTGACAATTTTACGGTCGGCTTTCAATTCTGGAAGCCATCAATTCCGCAATCACAAGATCATTTTCACATTCCGAGAGTAGGCGAAAATATACGGAAGCGGATTCTGCTATACAATGTGCACATCAACACAAGCGGTGGAGGTACACGAACGGGTGCTGATGTCGTTTCGTTCCTGAATATCTGATCAAGGATTTCCAAACAATCTGCTGCATGCTCAAGCACAGTCATGACATTTTCACATGCGATTGAATTGTAGACTTTGAACTCTCATCAGCAGGATTAGTGTCGAATTTTAGGGCATCTACAGCATCTTCCTGATTGCATAACAGAATAATACGACCATTTTTATCTACGAAACCTCCATCCATGCCACCATCAGTGCATAGTCCCTCGATGCAACCATCCCGCTGGGTTTCTCAATGGCCAAAGTGAATCTAATTCTGGATATCTAACACTTTGCGGAGATCTCTTGATGCTGGATCCTAAACCTAGTGTTGCCGGAACAAGTCCAAACTACCCCTGAAGAAGCGTAGTGATTCTCCATTTGCGGTCGAATACTCAACACACGATACAACTCTGGACAAGCCCAGTTAAACTAGTTTCAACCCCGTAGTAAACTGGGACAGGAATTCCGGAGCACTCCTAACCTTCTGCAACAACTGACTGGACTTATATTCTCCAACCACAACACCGTGTCGATCTGAACAGCCGAACTAGTCCCACAAACACATCCCATCGACATCGCTGAATTTGTGGGAATTCATCAAACCTCGAAGCAACCATTGATCAGCCACGCCGCTCACGATTTCTGCATCCCCAACTCTATCATCAACCGTTTCAACCAACCACAAAGTCGTTAACAAATCCTCACAAAACAGCCTCCGACCCACAGATCAAACTAATGTTCACTAGCGAAATTTTCCAGGTGCCACTAATTACCAAAATCGCGGTGGGAACTAAATTAGCAGGATGCGATTAGCCGCAAGCTTCACCCCCATCAGTCTCCGTGACGTCTAGATTGAAATAGGCACCGATGATTTCTGCTCTCTCCGATGCATCCAGTCGCATGAACATCTATGATCCAGCTTCATATCTAGATCGTCGTCTGGATCGCCATCATCTAGATAGTCGCCGTTTAGACTATCGTTGTCTACATCATCGCCGCCTTCAGAATCGTTATCTAGATTATTGCCGACTAGAACATCGCGGTCCAGGTTATCGCCGTCTAGAGTATCGTTGTCTAGATAATTGCCGTCTAGATCTTCGTTGTTTAGAGCATCGCGATCTAGATCAACCAGTTCATCGACAATTGCAGTACCGATCCATCGGTGATCTGCAACTTCTACTTGTGGCGGCGTTGCGAATGCACATCTTTTATATAAAAGAGTTGAGGGAATAAACCAGCAGGTTAAACAAGAAGAGCTGCATATCTCATTGTTTTCATCAAAAATGTAGTAATAATTCAAAATTTGATCAATTAGAGATCAAAATCTGAATGATGTTCCTATAGATTGCCAAGAGTAGTATTGCAAGATCACTGGGCATGGAGCTAGGAAGCACCACAACCTAGAATGGCATGGAACATAGTTAAAAGACATACAACATGGAGTTTCACATCATATGAAGCTTCAAACAAAAGGTTAATTTATAACATGTAGTTTACAATGTTTTTTTTGTGGCCAATGGCACAAGTTTCTACTAGTAGATATATATATATATATATATATATATATTGATTTTTTACTTTAATTTTATTTTATAACTATGGTTTCTCAGTATGCATTCTCTAGTAATGGTTTTGTTGCATAGATGGTTTTGTTGATTGACATGAGTTATATAAATGTTAAAACTAATAGCTGAATATGGATGTTGAGGGTCCTGTTTAACCTTGTTTTTTGAGGTTTTTGTCTTTTGTTGATTGTGGGTGATAATGTGGTTTGAATGTTTGCTTTTGGCTTTGGGTCTTGCTTAATGATTTGATATTTTGATTTGCTTGTATAGCTTTTGAAAATGTGCCAAGAAGTAAAATTGAGAAGAATCCTTATATTATAGGATTTCTTTTATCACATGTGAATTTTTTCAATAATATGGATAAGAATAAGAAAATGTTGTATTTTATGGAAAAATAATTTATTCTATATAATCCACAAGCTACATGCATTGTTGTTCCTCATCAATTTGTTTAAATATTTCTCATTAGTGTAAAGTAGTAAATATTAAATTTCATCACCTTTTGTTGAAAAAAATGAAATTTATCTCTATAATTATTTAAGCATAAAAATTGAATACACAATATGTCTTTGATATATATTTTGGAAAATATAAACATGTTTACAAAAATAGAAATAAAGATAAAAATATGTACATGTATGTATATACATACATCATTGATTTTTATGCTAGTATATTTAATAAATTAATAATGTATTTAATTAAATTTATTATATATTATTATTATCATTAAATTTTAAATTTTTTATTTATTAAATTCTTAATCTCATCGGAATTATTTATATATCATTAACTATAAGCTTTACAATAATACATGAAGAAATTTAAAGAAATTTTTAGAATTCTTTGAAAATCTTGTTATATAAATTTCAAAATTAATTTTTTTTAATGACAAGATCTTTAAAACATTAAAAATATATTTAAAGTTTAATTTCTTTTAAATTTCTAGTTTTCAAAAATTTAGTAATTTAATTAAAATATGTGTGCATGCCCTATTCTAAGTACATTCTATTTAGTTATTAAATCAATGTTTACATATTGAAACATAACTAGTTTAAGAATATAGTGTAAAACTATAAAGGTACAAAATAATATCTTTTAATCTTTCTTAAAAGAATATTTAAATAAATCACTATATAATTATATCTTTGTAACAAATTTTTAATTTAATTTGAGTTAATCCAGATAAATTTGTTTTAAAATTATTTTTATTTTAAAAATTATTGATTTTATTTTATATCTTAATTTCAAATTTTTATGATTTAAGATATTTATTTATTTATTTATTTATTTATATTCCTATATATATTCATATGATATAAATATGTAAGAAACTATATTTATGGGTGTCTAAAATATTGAAGAAATATAACAGAATAAGATACAAACATAAGATCACAACAAGAATATAAATAAATAAATAAATAACTTAAGAAAATGTGTGAATTAAGATAATATTGCAATTCCAACATCTTTGATTGATTGTAGGAAATACATGCTGGTATGACTTCGGTTGGTCATAATAATATTCCTTCTGGCATGTAAGATTATTGAGATAATATAGTTGTCCTGCTAATCTTTATATATACATACATTTATACCTTATATATATATATATATATATATATATATACATATACATATATATATGTGAGAATTATAATGGTAAAGAATTTTATTTTTATTTTTTGTAAATATGTGATTCTTTATAGTGTTGTGTAATTTTTTACTATTATATAATTAAAAAATATACTTATAATTTTGTAACTTACCAAAGTTTTGCATGTGTTAAAAAAGTAATTGTCTAATCGTTAGTCGGAATTTATTGAATAGTTTAGCTCTTAACAAAACTTGTTCATTGAATACAATGAATTGAATTTAATTCTTAAAATTTTCTAAATCGCAATTTTTATGTAACTTATTTATGTTCTTGAAATATTGAGATTTAAACCAAATTTAAGATGTAATCTGATTTTTTTTTTTTTTTATTATTTTTAGTATAAGAAATGAAAATTTCAATTAAATTTTAATGAATCAAAATAATCATTTGCTTCAAGAACAAATATTACAATAAAAAAATATTAGAGTTTCAATCAGATAGAGGAAATTTTTGTTCAGTCTTGCAATTAAATATTTTAAGAAAACTCATGTTGTTTTTGTTTTCAAAGATAGGTTCTTTAAATGTTAAAATTTATACAAAAAAATTCAAAACATATTTTATAACATGTTGTGTTTTATTGAATATAACAACATTGTGACATGTTATTCTACTGTAAAGATAAATAAGTTTTGAAGTTTCCGTTACAAAATATTTCAGAATTCTTTTAAGAAAAATTAAAGAAATAAATATGTCAAACTACCTCATTAAATATATCTAGAAGATCGAAAAAAGTAATAATAATGAAAAAAACATTATTAAAGATCGTTTAATTTATAAACTGACTAGTATTCTTTTTTTAAATTATTTTTTAATTTTTTAATTTTGGCATTAAAGGGTTTCTTTACAGAATTAAACGTTCATATTACTATGACTTGCAAAGAAATCTTATGAATCCACTTTAAAGGTTGGAATTTCCAAAATTATAATGTATATTATTTTAATGATTTAATATATTATTATTTTTTTTGATAACTCCATATATCCATAATTTGGTTATTTAAATGAATTTTTCTCCTTATTGCAGTACAATTTACATCTAATAATATTTAATGATAAGAAATACTGTCTAAACTCACACTAAATTAGAGATATGAGCTAACACGTTGCAGATTATGGTAAAAATTATTCAAATTTCATGACGAAGATCTAATATGAAATTAGTTTACAAAAAAATATTTTGTTGATTGTGCAAATACTAGGAAGTTCATGACGAAACCAACAATGTTAAAAATCTTTTATAAAATGATACAATAAGTTATCTATTTATAAAAAATAAAAAATTAATCAGTAAAAAATTATTTCAAGGGACTAGAAATCCAGAAATTTTCATAAGCTAATTTTAAAAATAAACATGCATGATTATCTACTTTTGGATCTCTCATTACATGTGTAAATCAAACAACATGAAAACTTAAAATTAATTTGTATGTTTAACATAAGTGGTGACTAAGACAAACACGCACATTCTTATTCATGCCTGTACATACGTATGTATTACATTTTTATTTTGTGTTATTTTCTTCTTTCATGCTTTTATGTGCAAGAACAAGATAAATGTTCAGCAACTTGTCATGAAATTTTCAATGCAATTATATTCATGATGTAGACAACTTTTTTTTTTTTTTTAATTTTTGAATTCAGTTAAATAAAACATCATGCATGATAAACATGTGATCCATGTTAATCAGGAACTATTATTTTAAAACATAATACTATGTAAATCTAAAAATCAACATCTTACAAATAAAATAGTGTAGTGAGAGGTAATGACAAATACCTTAAGTTTTATAATACATGCAAGAATTAAATTATTTTAAAATCTGATGTTGCAGTAAAAAATAATCCAAGTTGAATAGTTGAATTCTAAAAGCCACAATACAACATAAAAATAAATAAAAATAAAAATAAAACTAAACAACAATCAAACAAACCAAATTATCCATTTAAAGAGCCAATAAGTCAATAATAAATTGGCAGATTTCCTTTATTCGAATTCTGCATATTTAATAAACTGGTCTCTATTTTGATAAAATTTTCAAGTTAATTATGTCACGATATGATGTTTAGTTGATTTATTTAAGTACTAATTGATTTTCAAACCTTCTTGTTACACAAATATCATTATTTTCATTAACACATGTAACACCAAAACTGTTAATCATGTATATTGGTTTTCTATAATTTATAAGACTATATTATAAATCTGATTGAATCAATTCATATTGGTGTTGAATTCTAACTTTACTTGATGAAAAGACACTATAAAGGACATCCTTATTGTGTCAAAAGGAATCCAATCAAAATATCATCATATATATATATATATATATAATTCATTCGCAACAACATTCGACTCCATCTTTCTATGTTGTTGTTTTTCTATCTTGATGGTATATTCCTCTCTTTTAAAAAAATTGGAACATTCAAAAAAAAATATATATATATATATATATATATACATACGAAAAGGAAAATATCAATTGAGTTCATGAAAGAAAGAAGAAAAAAAAAAAAAAAAAAAAAAAAAAAACTTTGGGGGTGGGTGAGTAGGTGGGTGTAAAGGTTGGGTCCATTGTCCTTTCCTTTTTTTAATGGCTGGTCTTTCCAACAACCAACCTGTCTGCGGCAAATGGGCCACATCCCAAAAAAAACAATAAAAACAATACAAAATAATTTTAAAAATTAATCAATTAAAACACTAGAAAAATGGCTTCTAGAACCCCTTCGATAACCCCCTTCAAGTCTTACATGGCATGCCACATGGGACCCAACCCCCTCAACATTAAGTCATGTATTGGGCTAAAACATTTCTTCCACAAGAATTCCATAAATAAGCTTGCACCATTCCCTTACATTTTTCAAATAAGTTATATATATATGTATATATATATATATATATATATATATGTTATTGTTAAATATAGCATGTGTTTCCCCACACACAATTTGTGCCAAATATTAAAAAAAAAACAAAACTTCACATGGATGATAACAAGTGGAGCCTCTTGTTCATCTGCATGAAAAATGGCGAAACAATTTTTTAACAATACTTGGTTGACCTTTGGAAGTTGTGGAAAGGGAGAGAACACTTTCTTTTTCAAAATCACCCACTTGATGGGCAATAGAAAAGCTCATAGTTTCCCAATGAAGAAATCATATATCGTACCATATCATATCATGTGTGTGTGTGTGTATATATATATATATATATATATTCTTTGGGAGTGGAATTCCTAAACATGGGGAAGTGCACCTCCCCTATACAACAAAAACAATATATGCCTCTTTCTCTTCTCCAATAAAATCAATGGTGCTGGTGATAAAAACAACAGTAACAACAACAACAATAATAATAATAATAATAATAATTGGTCATATATTGTGGCTACAGGAGTCCATCAAGGAGATAAAAAGATATTAAACTTTGTGGACCCGTCACAAAATTGCGGAACCATAGGATATTCAAGTGGACCCTAAATCTGACCAAGGCCCACATTTTCATAAAAAATAAAATAAAAAAGTCTATATCTAGTAATAAGGAAAAGAAAGATAAGATATAATCTAATATAATATAAAGAAGATAACATTGTGTTTGGTACGACAAGTGGGTGATTTTGTATTCCAACTCAAAAGAAGAGGGGACACATTGAAAGGATTATGGGGAAAAGAAAAAGAAAAAGAAAAAAAATGATGGATATACATCATTTATGAATGAAATCATAGATAATATTTTTGTTTTTGTCAATGTAAAGATACATGTATTGTGAAGAAGAAAAATTCTCAATGGAGCTTCTTATGTTGGTTTTAACATGAGAGTAGTTTAATGGATTTAATGTAATCACTTGTTAGCTATAGTGAAAGGAAAAGGATCACATTTTATGTAGTTTAGACGAGCCACCGAAGTTGACCTAGAAATCCCATAATAAAAAAATAAAAGGCCATCTCCTTCACCCAAAGTGAATTTACTTTTAAAGAAAAGGTGAGATGGAAAAATCTATGTCACCTAAAATTATTGATTACTTTACATGGCAAGGTGACATCATTTATTTATTTATTTAAATACTTTGAACATAACCAAAAATAAAAATATAAAAAATTGCAACTTGGCAGAGTGAAGTAAACATACAACTTGTGTGTGAGCAATAGTTTATTTCTTCAAATAGAAAGAGAGAATATCCACTTATCTTTTTTTAAAATTATTATTATTATTATTATTATAAATAACCTGAAGGTCATTTTCAAAAGTAAAAAAATGAGGCCATTAATTACAAATGTTAAACTAGTGACATTGTCATATGTGATTAGGTCATAAGATGCAATAACACCATTCCATCCTCTCAAACACAAATAAAATTCAATATGTTCAATTAAATAGGTCAATTAATTCTGTTAGATGGTTACAGTCTTTGTTGTGTGCAAAATGGCACTTGACAAAATATTGTTTGGTCACTTATCTTTATGCATACATGCCATGTGCAAAATTGGTAACATATGGCAACTAATAAAATTTTGGGAATAGAGTTTAAAAACAACAACAACAACAACAACAATAATAATAATATATGTTGTTTCTTTGAAAAAGAACACAAGTAGATTGAATTTCTTATTCAAACAACACTTTTCAAGAATAGAAAAAGCCACCAAATAATCCAAAATCAAAAACACACAAATTGCTCTCATATATACAATTGAACTCTTCTTGGACTCTATCGATGTTGAGTGACAATGGAAAGATTTACTTGGAGGACAAATACAAGCAAGGTGAGACTCAAAGAAGAGTCATGAATTTGCTTAGAATAAAACCTATATCACACGCTTGTGTTTATATTTAGCCATAGGGGGAGACAAATCCGCCTACCCTAAATCAATATGGGGGATAATCTTTTGGGCCCAATCTCAAGGCTCCCCAAGGTCATAGATGTGTATGATTGGAACCTTTGGGTCAAGCTCTTGGGAAGCTTTTTTATAGTTTTTTTAATAGTTTTATTATTATTATTTTGTTATTGTTATGTGAGGAATATAAAGATGCAACATGATTGAGCACAATGGAAACGGAACCCAATTCCCCTTGCGGTTGCCACATGGCAACCCATAATTGGGAACACATTGGATCTCCCTAAAAAACACAACAACAACACACTTCCATATGGGTCACTTGCCCTATTCCAAAAGCCAAAACTGGCTTCTTTGATTCCAAAAACAGAAGTGTAGGACTTGACGAATCTTTTATTTTTAGCACCCGGAGCTTTGTTTTTTTTTTTGTTTTTTGATAGGGTTCTTCAGGAGCATCAAGGCATTTGTCTGCTTGTAGTGACTACTTATAGACCAAGCTCTCCCCCATTTGCTTTTTTTCTTTTTTCTTCTCCTTTACCTAAACCCTAACTTTGTGGTGGTGGTGGTGGTAGTGTGAATAGCACCCATCAGCTCCCTCCTCCATGAGATAAGCTCTTGGGATCCACAAACTCTATTCCATGTGGAATATATCAGTGGTGAATTATTCACTACCACAAGATATGGACACTAAAATGAAGATGGTTATGTGAAAGCTGAAGCCAAAGCTAATGGACCCCTTTTACTCCATCCAAGCACATGTCCTTCTATCAGAGCAATGGCCCCAAGTTATTACAATTGCTCCTTCCATCTCTTGGATTCCTCAAAGATTCCTATTCATAATTACAATGAGTTAGCATAATTTGGATCACTCACACATGTTTCTCTCTTTAGAACAAGAGAAAAGAAAAGGAAAAACAATAAAATATTTAAGAGAAAAAAGTAATAATTGACAAATCAATTATTTCACAAAAGGGAAATATATTGGGGGAGGGGGGTTGCTATCACAAATTGTGTTCAGGATTTAGGGATTCAGACAAAATTTACAAAAAATCATGAAACAAACATATAAAAATAATATTAAAGACTAAAAAAATAAACAAAAAATAGTAAACTAAAATCCAGCGTTTCATGATACCGAATATTTTGCACACATTGATGTAAATGCGTAGATAATAAGTTGACAATAAGTTGGCACAGTTCATCAGGAATATTGATCGAATAATTGAAGAACGTATGGATGAAAAAGGATGAATAATAGGATGAATATATGGATGGATGTGAACATGGAGGAATAATAGGATGAAGCCAAAGGTGGATGTAGATAAGGATGAACGTATGGATGACTTATAGGATGGAGACATGGATGGATGAAAATGAAGAAAAGGCGGGGGTAGGGGAGGGGGCTTGGCAGCGGCGGGACTGGGACGTCGGAGTCGCGGAGATCGCCGTCGGAGCTTGAAGCAGCATTGCAGTGTCTGCATTAGACGAAGAAGACGACGACGAAGAAGAATAGAAAGCAGCAGCAGTAGAAGCAGGAGGAGGAGCAGGAGCAGGAGGAGCGGCGGGGGCCACGCCGGAGTCATCGTGCTTTCATAGAGGCCGAGCGAGAGAAAGAGAGAGCGCGCAACTCCAGGCCCACACGGAAGAACTCGGTCAACACCAGGGACGCTTTCTTCACGACCACACTCCCCCCTTGATCATTATCTGATGCATCTTCTTCGCTGATCCGCATCTTTTATTTTTTTCGGAATTACATATATATTTATATTATATATATATATATATATATATGAGAATTTTGTCGTTTCACTCGAGGGGGAAGGAAGGGAGTAACGAGAGACTGTAGTGGCTTTCCCTTTGCCGGATTGGCGTGGATGACTTACGCAAGCAGGTGCTCAAGGTGTTGATTCCAACTCCATAATCGCCGGCGTCGTCGTCGTCGTCGTCGTTGTCGTCATCATTGTCGTCGTGTAGTAGTACGGGGCGTGGGCATGCCATCGCACACGTAGAAAGTTTCGGGACCGCTTTGAGTTGCATCATCGGTTACTTGGTCTTCCTTGTGCCGCCCTCGTTGCCCCATTTCTTGCCTGCCTTGCCTTGGCTGCTTACTATTTCCTCCTGTAAATTCTTCTGGATCTCCGTCACCGCGCTTGAGGCGACCTCTCCAGCTTGACTCGTGTCTAGCAGCCGACCTTTTTGAACATTTCTATTCTGGTTATTTTAACCTTGAGAAGTTGCCTAAGCGTAGCTTCAATTGACGGAACAGTGGAGTTTAATTTTTTTTCTTTTAATTGGGTCAATTTCGATATTGGAAGGTAGGATACTTTGCTGGTCTCCTAAGTTTATCCGTCGCTGTCGCTGGTCACGACGCATGAATGACCTCCCAGAGCTCATGACAAGCCTCGTGATGAGCTCCTCCAAGTCTTGCTGCTTCTGCTCTCGCTGCATTGTCGCGTAGGCGCCACCGCGGCACCAGTAGTGTGGCTCCTTAAAGAATAGGATTTCTGTGTTTGCCCAGTGGACGTGCGAGTTGTGTGGCGGGATCTGTGAGGAGAAAGGATTCAGTGTAACTGAGAAGTATTTCATGCTTAAACCGTGACCAAGCCGTCCCTCCCAGCGCCTTTTCGAGGAAGAAAGATTATCTCAATTGATCTGCTGGTTCACTTCGTCTTTGTTTTGGCCAGACAACTGCATTGTCGTGCCAGTGTTTAGCCTTCCGCAGTCCTGATTTCGGGCATTTTCCTTGAATGGTCATTTCAGAGGATAGGTGTGTCACCAAGACTTGAGATTCTCAGAGTTTAAGCAATGGACACCACAGTAATACAATCGAAGACAACAGCGCAATTCTTCTTCCTCATGATCACCGTCGGGCCAATGCTATCGTAGAGGACGTCTAGGTTACCTTGCTATTGCCTCCAATTGCGTTGCGAATATGCAATTACTCACAGCGTAATTGCGACTTCTTAAGACGCAGTATCGCTTTACGATTTTGAAACGTAGTCAACAAAGTCGGGAAACAAAGGAAACAGATTTGCGCATTATCTTCTGTAGAGTCTGCAGAGTTGTTCGCCTGCAATCGCTTGGAGACTCAGATTGACTTGTCGTTACGAACTGCGGCCGATAGCCTTGTCCGACTGTTACTACACTGTCCGTATTAAATACCGAGCGTGGTTGTTGGTGACGACGTAAAGCTGGCGATCAAGGCAGCACAACTGGAGTCTCCCAGTCTCCTCAAGTCGAAGAAGACGACGAGCATGGTGAGTAATCTTTTGTACAAACCACTGAGCATTATGCACACTACGCTGTTCTTTCATGTACACAAATTTGTTACTCAAATTTCGAAATTTTGTACGTTGCCTTTATGACTAGCTCCTACCACCATTGCAAAAGTGCCCAACATTTCGAGATTTGAGCAAATTTTGCCTGACATTTGGGAATTTTTTTCCTGGTCGTTTGAATAAGCGCAATGTGCTAACAAGAAATAAAGGCACAAAATTCATCGAAGCTGATGACGTGAGAGGACAATTCTACATATCTCCTCACTTAAGGAACCCTAATGAACATGCCTGACTAACATAAGCGTCATTCTTAGTTACAAGGGAGACCTCAAATCGGGATAGTTTCTCTTATGAACTCGAAATGTAGGCAGCATATTTCATGGAGAAGAAGATTGTCGAAACTAAGGAAGTCAAAGGCCAAATGAGATATATGCGTGCTGTATGAGATACCTGCAGATCCTGTCTTTGTCTTGTTTACTGTCTGTTTACTAAGACTGCGGCCTAATCTAAAATAACCAAATTGTATCTGCCAAAAAATCTGTTAAATCTGAGAAAGATGCAAAATCTCGTCAATTCAATTATGACTATACACTCATGCAACTTACGCTGTTGACCTCCTTTCTGCTACTCTTGGTGTCTGCTTGAGCGTGTCGGCTTATGAATTTTAGAGCAAGGGATTCTTGAAGTTTTTAAGGCACGGATACGTATCATTCTGCGCTAAAGAGTGCACTAGAGTTCGTGTGTACATCATTTATAATGGGACTCTAACTTTAAACTCTCTCTTAATAATGTAGGGAGGACCGGTGGTGGCGGAGGAGGACACCACACTTGTTGAGGGGCCAGTGTGGTTGAAACCGCTGCTGAAAGCCGATTTCTTTGCTACTTGTCCACTGCATGGAGTTTCTGCCAAGAGCGAGCGCAACCTATTTTGCTTCAAGTGCATGGGTGATGGCATTTGTGCCTCTTGTGCAGTAGATCACAAAGACCACCACGTTGTACAGGTACGAAGAATTCAATGCTTGGGCCGATTGCTAAGCAAGCGCTCCTTTTGTTGCCGGGGTATATGCCCACAGCTTTTGTTCATTCGTTTTCTTCGTTTCGTTGAATCAAGGAAAGGGAAAACTCAAATGTACGTTTTCAAGCACATTCTTAGGCGCAAATAAGATTTTTTTTTGAGCTTTACAGCAGTGGGGCATTCATTCCCGAGCTACACACTGACGACTTACACAAGCGCTTAGTATTTAAAAATGCTCAAATGGTAGTCATTTTCTTCTTGTGAAACGGAAGTGTTCTATGTCAATTAGACCATTTCGTTTGAGATTGAGACCGTTTGTCCAGTCCAATCATAGTATGTTTTGCTGAATGGAACTCAAAAGGGTGATATAGTACTGAAACCTTGGTTCTGGCGCTCTCTCTTGTATGGCAATGCTGCAGATTCGACGGTCGTCTTACCATGATGTCATTAGAGTTTCCGAAATCCAGAAGCTGTTAGACCTCTCCACGGTCCAGACCTACATTATCAACAGTGCCCGTGTGGTATTCTTGAATGAGCGTCCTCAGCCACGACCGGCTAAAGGCGTGACTAATACGTGCGAGACGTGTGAGCGGAGCCTTCTTGACACATTTCGCTTTTGTTCCCTGGGATGTAAAGTGAGTAATTTATTCAACCATTCCCTATAACTATATTTCCTTTTCCTCCAGGTAATCCACAAGTATATTGATCTGAGTGATCAGGTCAAAGGATACAGTAAGCTAAGCTTCAGAAACAGGCTCTACACTCTTCACTCAGAGTACGTCCAAGAGAGTACAAGTAGCTACATCTGGTCCTTACTCTGCATTGTATGTTCTCACGACGAAGCGAGGAATGTAGATGCTTCATGTCAAGGATTCGATCCAAAAACTGTTCCATCGTCTGTTCACTTGAATTCAGATGTTTCCGTTTCAGATTAGTCAACGTTTACGTAAACTCTGATGTGATTCTAACCGTCGCCAGAGTTTTCTGTTTTTGTCAGCTTGCGGGAATTAAAAGGCACAAGGACCTCTCTTTCAGTCTACAACCAAAACCTCAAGGTACAGTTAGCACGAACTCTCGCGTACTGTCAGACTCAGAAGACTCTTCCACTCAAAAGAAGGCTCCACGGTCAAGGAAAGTTTCACAGCTACGAAGCTCTCCCCTGTCTCACACAAGCTTCGAGGGCTCAGAGACAGAGCATGAAACAACCGAAGATACGACTTTCAACAAGCGACGAGTATGGCTCCGCATTGATGCGGGGCCGTCCTCACCAGGAGCGAGTTCGGAGCGTTTCAATCGAGCCACAAGTTCGTTGCCTGTTCTCGTGGTCGACATGTCACCTAGGACACCGCCTCGTTCGAACATCCATCGGATTGCCAAACGACGGAAGGGCATACCTCACAGGGCACCTCTTCGGGCTTGAAACTTACCTGTTCAACATGTGAACATAGGGTACGGGATTGTATCATGTCGCTTTCTCTTGGTCTAAGTTCTGTCATCAAAGCATCATTGTGACCGTGGACAACGGAAAAAGAAGCCAAAGGAACAGATTCATCAGCAACTGAATTTTTGGTAGCAATCGCACCGTTGTTAGCGAGCCACGACTCAGGTACTTGGCCCACACTGGGCCTCTCAAAAGTGCTGCACCTGTGTAGTGAGGTGCTCCACCTCAGCAAGGAAACACAAACAGTAAGCTTCAGTGCAGTGCCTGCAAACCTTAAGTGTATATATTAGCTCAAAGGTTAGCACTGTTTTTACCGTATGTTATTATAATGTATACTGTACATGTACTGAGCCTGAAAGAGCGCAGATGCCATATCTACTGGCGTTATCCCGGCAATGTACTTTGAGCAACGTACTTTGAGCTGAGCGGTGGTGTCATGCTTCAGGAAAGTGCATCCAACCACTTTGCTTGGTACTGTAAAACAGGGGAGAAGCCTTGCTGAGAAGACAATTGTATTCTACACAGGAGTTGGACGGGCAAAGTGTCAGCGTACAACTCTTTTCATGTACCATAGCTACACCCTTTCTCTCTGCATAATTTTCTGCTACCTTTGGGAAAGCTTGTATAAGTATTATACCACTCAACAGTACAACACAATTGTTGAGTCCACTACACAATAAATGCTCTTTTGGGTCTCTGCACGTCATCGACTTTCTAATGTTTCATATTTTATATTTTATGTGTTTACTTTCTCTGTTGGTTTCTGTAAACTCTCATTGTAGTTGTTAGTTGTACTTCGTAATTTTGAAAGCCAAGTCGGATGTGGAAGTGGATGAAGAAGGATAGGTGAACATCAAATAAATAATAAAAATTTAGTGAGAAATAGATGTGGCCTTCAAATTTGTTTGAAAAATATACAGTACTTCACCACATCCTTCAACCTTCTATTCAAGAAGTACAATACAAACCTGCTTCCAACAAACACAAATTACTTTATCAAACAAATTCAAAAACACTTTGAGATAGAAATTAGATTCTGTTTTATATAATAATGCATGGTGATAAGTAAAAAGCCCCACGCCTTTGATGCTCACAACATTTTAACACCTTGCCCTTTACATCCTTTCTATCATCTTTATTACGAAAAAGTTAAAATAATTTTTTAAAATTAAAACATTTGCTTTATACCCATACATGCGTGTATGATTAATACTAGCCAACAATTTATTGGACAGAGAAATGGTCAAGTTAGTTGAACATATTCATTATTATATAATTATATTTGTAGTTAAATACTTCACAACTAAACATGATCTTTGCCTTCCAGTGTCCATGTCATCAAATTGTTAGAACAGCATATCTAGTGTATATAATTGGTTAAAAATTATAAACGTAAAGCCAATTTTTGTATGGTGGGAATAATTTTTGTTTAGGATTGCAATTAGCATGTTTAAAATTAGAGATATCTTGTTAGAATTTCCAAGATAATGTAATGGTACTATTTTTTTGAGTGCCCAAATGTATTATAGTACTTACTCACCTAACATATCTAATTTCTTTCTTAAAAAAGGGAGATAAATATGTGTATATATATATATATACACACACACATTGAATTTCTGATCCTAACAAGTTTTCATAGTGTCATCAGATGTACATGATTTTTATAAAAACATCATGCATTTATTTTCACATCAACATTCATGAAATATTAAAATTGTAATAAGACATTTTTAAAAAATAAATATAAATAAAAACTGAATGATGTAAAGATATATGTTTTATTAAATTCATGAAGTTTTTAATTTTAATTTTAATGTTATTGATATTCCATGAGTAATAGAATTATATTTTATTGTTCAAGTTTAGGAGAAAAAAATTAGCATGTGAAAGTTTTCTTTTCAAACTTAGTTAAGACAAATGTTAATCCATAATCCCAATAAATCACCTTAATCTTATGTTATTTTTGTTGCTTCTTTAGAAATTCTTTAATGTTCTTTCACGTCAGTTTTCTTCATTTTCATAGTATAGGTATCAAATAGGTCCACGAGCATGTTTTGGTTTTTGTGTTTAACAATATAGATGTGTTTATTGGATGAAGTTTCATATTTGAACATTTTTAATACCATGGAAATTAATCCATAACCTACATTTGGAAAAAAAAATTGTGTTTTAAATGTATTTTATTTTATTATATATATATATATATATATATATATATATATAGAGTAATTTGATTTGTCCTTTGAAATGATAGACTTAATAAATAAATTAGTCCATTATTATTAGAGTAAAATTAAACTCAAACTTTATCAGTTTTTAGTCATGAAAGTCCAAATGAAAATTTGCTGTTTTTTTAATAATTTAATTTAATTTAAAATATTTCAAAAAAAGTTAATTTCATTCCAAGAACAAATTTTTCCCAATTTCATTAAATGAATAAGGAAACATAAATTTATATGATTAAATGAAAAAAAAATATATTTTAAAAATTTAAATCAAATCATTAGTATATATTAAAAACACACTTACATTTTCGAACTTACATGTAAATTAGTTTTCATCAAAAAATATATATTTTAATTAATTTACTAATCTTAAATATGTGATTATAAACATTAGCTAATTACTTGTCTACTTTGGGAAGGAAGAATCAAAAGACAACCAAACATAGCCCTCACACTCTTTGTCACACTACTCTGCAAAGTTTTTATTTACAGCTTTCAGAAGTTACAATATATTCAAATTTATGCTTCTCTATGAAAAATAGCACTAAATTTAAGAGCACAACATGAATGGGAGATGTGAGAAATTGATACTTTTCAAACGCATTGATTTTTCAAGTACCTATTAACTTAAAAAAATTCTCATATTTATGTTGTAATTGTGAATATATCACCAGTCTCCAATGCGTTCCAATTTCCTCCGGTTGCCCCCACACCACCCGCTATTGCAGCGACGGGTTGCAGCCGATGAGTGCACCGGCATAAGCAGTCGATAGTCTAGCACGAGACGCCTATCCCCGCCCTGCCTCGTCGGATTAGGACTTCAGCACCTTGACTATGGCGATGGCACTGGCTATGGCGATGCTTTGAATTCTGCCCACAGCCCTTGCTGTGCACAATCTCCCTGCTTTCTCCTCGCTCCGACCTTTGATTCTGCCCAATTGCCTCGTCTTCGTGCATCAGGGTCTGAATCAGTGGCCATCTCCCGGTGGACTTGCGCAAGAATTAGTGTTTCTCTTTCATTCTGTAGCTCTCCCGAAGTTCAATCCCACGACATGTTTGTCTTGGGTTTTGGAGGCGCGGGGTCTAAATTTATACGTTGATGAGAATAGTCCAGCGCGTTTTGGGTATTTGTTAAGAAGGTCTTATCAGTGAGGATTTTGCAGTGGAAGGGGGGGATGGAGGCATCATCCACTCAGTGAGTGATTTGAGACGAAGGTGTGCTGTGAAGAGTGTGTGTACATTTGGAGATTTTATAATGCTTCGGTGAAAGGTTCAGGAGTGTACAAATAGGAGGACTGAAATTCGGCCAGCGTCCCCATCAGTCTGGTTTCGATTGTTGGTCGAGGAGCGACTCTTGCGTCGACGAAATTGAAGCAAGTTTTGTATTCGAAGGGCAGAGTTAGGGTTGCGTACGCTGATGTTGGAGCTGAGCGGTAAAAATGAGTCGAGAAGCCACAGATGCTAGTTCTTCAGGGACTGGCTCACCAGAGGAGACTAAAATTTCACAAACCATCAGGAGTTGTAGAGGATGTTTGTATTACTCTAGTGTTATGCGTGAACGTGGCCAAAATCCGATCTGCTTGGGCTTGAGCCGGAGCAGCGAACCGCAAGTGTATTCGGTTCATAATGAACTAGACAGCGAACTTGTTAGAAACTTCCGCGATTCCACTTATTTCAAGTACGTTTGCACTGGCTATAGCGCTCACAGGGAAGTGAGCTCCAATCAATCGATGCAGCCGATTGAAAGCCCAGCTGAGCTCCCCTATTGCGTTGGTCTTGAGTTTCTTATCGACAGAAAGCCAACAAGGCAAGTCACTCCTGCCGAGACTGCCCCGTTAACTAGGTCCTCGACTTATGAGCCTCCGGTACGTTGTTCACATGTCATTGTGCAGTCGATCTGCGGTCTGTGAAGCACAATTTAGGGTTTGTGGTGCAGTTTGAGAAGCTAGATGCTGAGATTTTTCGTTCGTTACACCTTGCATGCAAAATTGGTGTCATTGGCGTCAAGTACATTCCTGATTTGTACTAATGTGATTAAGAGGGTTCCGCCACTATTGAATTCATGAGTTTCCAGCAGCGATAACATTGACATGAATAGCCAATTCAACTGTCGTACTGCTTGAGCGATAACTTTAGAAAAACCACCGCTTTCTAGATTGTTGATTACCAGGCGGTGCCTCTGCGCATCTTTGTTGTTGAAGTGTTGGGCACGAAAATCACAAGGTGTTTAGTATGATTCAGTAGTGCTCAAAAGTGAAGATGATATTGATGACCAGTTCTTGTCATTCAAAATATTGCAGGAACGACCGCATAAAGAGGACAGCTCGAATATAATGCCGAGGCCATCGTCATCAATAGGAAGTATGGATGTAGGAGGGTTGTCTGCCAATGAATTTGCAACCAGGCTCTTTCGGACGTCCAGACTAGTGGCATCTGCTGTCGTGAACAATGTAGGGAGAGTTGCAAACAATGTCAGAAGCACAATAGATAAAATCTTCACGTCGGACCAAGGTCGCCCAAAACCTTGACGGTCCTCCAAGTGGCGATAAGTAGACTCTTATGCTCCACAGCCGACTTTTACATGAAGAGTCAATTGCATCTCACGGATCATTCAAACCCAAGAGGTGTGTAGGCAAACGCATTCTCCTCCATGCCAAGTATTCTTCACACGTGGTTATCTAGACATGATGCCAAGTTCTTAATTCCTCGCTGCAAGTTCGATTGCCAATTTTTTATGACTTGGAATGGATGTTCAGAGAAATATGATGCCTGGCGATTTTATATGCTGGTGGGGAACCGTGCAATGGCTCTCCTTGAGTCCTCTTTCCAATTCGTATCCTTACTTCAGATCTATTTGTTCGAAGGTTGGAAAAATCTAGTGGATAAGTAAGGTCAAGTGGTAGAATATGAGATGAGTAGGATGGGGTTCTATTCCCTCGCTAGCTGGAATCCACCTACATGTTCCATCTCCGGAGTTTCTTCCTAGCCCTGTAGGTGAGCAAACAGTCGGATCGATGTTGGGTCATAGAAACTGCTGCGACAATATTAAGTAACGAACCATCCTCTGATTGTTATCATTTACTTGTGAACACACCCTTCGTAACTTGTTTGAATGGGAATGCCGTTGACGATGTGGATTGCCGTGTGTTGTATTTCTACTGTAAGCAAAGCTTGCCCCTTGTTCACATTCTATATTTACATTTTTATGAGTTACAAACTTGTGTTGTAAGTTTTAGAACTTATCACAGAAAATTAGAGGGCTGCCAATACGTTCCCGTAAGTACAAAGAGGCCAGCCTCTTCCTTCAAAATTCCAGCACAGATATGCAAAATTTGGTTTAACCCTGCATTCTCTGTTGATACGTTGTAATCTCTTTGAGGCCGCATGATGTTTCAACTCAAATGCCAGCTCTGCCCTCGTTCTCCCTGATGACATCAGAAAAAAGAATGATCCAAAAAGTGGTGACATCCCATCACTTATCTGGACGATTGAATGAAGCCAAGATTCCTGGGCCCACAACGAAGTCACTGGACGACGAAGACGTAATGAAAGAAATTGAATGTCCGAATTGAAAGCATGAACAGTACAGTAAGGAGCCACAACGAAAAGGTGGAGTAGAGAGACACAAGGAAGAAGAAACAGGAAACGGAAAGATAAAATGGTGGAGACGAAGAAGAGGTGACGGACTAGTTAAACTTTTGGTTTTTTTTATTATTTTATTTTTTCCAAATCGAAGGACTGCAGTTCTCTTGCATGCAACGAGCAACTGAGCTCGCACGGGCAGACGAGACCGCGACGGAGCTCAGAGGTGACGAGTTCGCTGGGAATAGGATCGACGAGACTGTTGGTGGAGGTGGATGACCGTCCTTGTTGCCGTGCGCGCTTCAATTCGGAGGGTAATGCGTCGCCGACATTGATGCCGAGGCTCCCAGGACATGCGGCATTCAAAACCATGCGGAGCTGAGGGGTGTTGTTGAAATTAGGGTTGCATGTGTGGGAGAGGGAGGGAGGGAGGGAGAGCGACGGGGAAGAAGAGCAAACCATGGAGGAGATGGCGAGTTGCCTGGGATCGTGGCGATCATGCTGCGCGAAAGTTGCGGCGGATAGGTGGAATCTATGGAGCTGAGGAGGTTAGGGAGGGGAAAGTTTGCGAGAATGGTATGAGTTTTATGGTATGCGGAATGCGGTGGTGTCGGAAGACGTTGTGGAGATCAAGGGGCGCGCCAGGAGAGGAGCTTAGCTTTCTAGCTGGTCTGCGCAATGGCTCAGGGGACGTCGCTGTTGGCCGCTTGCGGAGGCGAAACCGTGAAGCTATTCGACGTCTCTATCGAGACAGGGGATCCTTGCACGTTTCAGTATGTTCCTTCTCCGGGGTATCAAGTTAATTGCGCGCGATGGAACCATACCAGTAAGTGTAACGCGATTCTCGCTCTTTCTCGCGGAGTGCTAGGAATCTTAGTTTGGGCGTAGACCAAGGAACTCAAGTCTCGATGCAGATTAGTAGTTCAGTTTTCCGATGAACCAGGTCAGTGAATAGCTTAAATTTAATGTAGGCGGAGAACCTCCCCTAGGAATGAGTTCTTCAAGTCAGGAAGGCGCCTCAGATTCTATTTTTTTTAAGCTTGTTGCTTGAAGTGTACAGATATGCACATGAATTTCATTTTTCGAGACATCGTTCTTTCACGCTTTACTCAGCGCCGGTAGACGTGGTTTACACTTACAGAGGTTTCGATGTTTTTGCAAGAAGGATTCAAGCTATTGAATAAGCATAACTTTGCATTCGGCCTTTTTTTTTTTTTTTTTTTTTTTTTTTGTACAGTCTCGTTGTTTACTCTCGTACTAAAACATGCAATGAGGAGCTTAGGGCACGCTGGACTTTGCAGTTTCAGTATTCATGGAAAAGGATAGCCCTTTTAGCGTTTAATTAATAGTTCCATTGCACAATTAAGTTGAAGTATTGCTTTCTCGACGATATCTTGGAACAGAATTGGTAGGGCATTAAGTTACAGTCAATTCATGAAAGTGTTTGAAAAAATTACACTATTCAATAGTCGAGATGGTGCCAGAAATTCGTTCAGTGCAGATGGACGCCGATCAAGAATTTACAGTTACTGTCTCAGGAGTTAACGTTCTTGTTGTAAATCAAGTATGACGGGTTCTTATCCTGTAGAGCGCATATTTTATAATGATATACCAAACTTGGACTTCTTCACATGATGTGGTATTGAAAATGAAAGTAGTGCACACGAAGTGAGATACTTCGTGGAATTGTTTGTTAGTTGATGGAACTCTTACAAAGTCGTTGGATTATGTTGGACTCGCCACTTTTACAGACTGCATTATAGTGTGCTTTACACCATAGCGTATTTCATCGTTCAGACCGGAGCTCTGAACGATGACTTGCTGTCGTTATGGCAATGGAGGTATTGATTCAATGTATGCTACAAATATTCTGAGCATCTCTTCTGCAGATTTGGTGGTTGCAAGTGCTGGCGAAGACTGCAAAATCTCGCTATGGAGGAAGAATGGTCAAGTAATAGGAGTTGTGCCACAACCTGGAGGAGAAGCCGATGACAATATCGATGTGAGTGATCAAATGAACGTTCCTTCGTGTTCTATTTCAGAAATAGCACATGTTTAAAGAAAACTGAACAGAGGAATTGATACTCGATGTCTCTCAAATCTTTTATTCGGCATGGGAGTACCCTTGCATCATAAGGTGAAGTGGTTTGCTGGGTCTGTCTTATTAATCTGATAATTGTATGGACATCAACCCTTGGAACTAATTGCTTTTCTTTATTTGCAGGAGTCCATTTTGGGAATTTGTTTTAGCAATAAAGGTTCTCGGTATCTTGGCTCAGGTGGAACTGGAAAGGTTGTCCGTGTATGGGATCTGCAAAGAAGGAGATGCATCAAGTGGTTGTGGGGCCACACTGATACTATCACCAGTGTTATGTACAACTGTAAGGATGAACAGTTGGGTTCTATCAGCGTGAAGGGTGACTTGATTATCCACAACCTTGCATCGGGAGCCAAGATAGCAGAGCTCAAAGATCCCCACAATCAGGTGTGAACAAATTCTAGTTGTACTTGATGTTTTTGTATGTGTTTTCCGAGATTATCTTAATGACATCATGTTGTTTTTATTGGAGCAGGTGCTTCGAGTTATGGAGTACTCTCGATTGAGTAGGCATCTGCTGCTAACCGCTGGTGATGACGGGACTGTTCATTTGTGGGACACCACTGGACGTTGTCCTAAGGCAGGTCAATCCTTGTTTGTTTCTATTAACTCTTTTATTCGAAATCGAGGTTCGAGAACTTTTCACTGGCATGGATTCTGTCGCATTAAACCTAGTATTGTAGACATATGTGTATTCGTACTGGTGTTTAACTGAATAAAGAGAAGGTGTTTAACACAACTATTTTGATCGCTGCAGGTATCCTGGCTGAAGCAGCATTCGGCACCTACCACCGGGCTCTGCTTCTCACCAACGTCTGACAAGGTCTGATTTTGTGACTTAGCATGGGATCTTACGTATCCAACTCAAGTCGCAAATTTGGTTGTGAAATAAGTAGAGGCTTAGGTTTTCTGTTCATTTCTAGTGGACATAAGTGAAGCATCACAGGTTACGTAGCATGCAATGTTTATGTGTAACATTTTCTAATCCTTCATGCAACATGTATCGTCAGATGATTGTGAGCGGTGGACTGGACAAGAAGTTGTATACATATGATCCTGGTGTAAAGAAGCCTGTTTACTGTATACCATATGAGGCTCCCTTTGCATCTCTGGCTTTTAGGGACGATGGCAACACCCTCGCAGCTGGTTCCAATAGTGGCCGGGTTGTATTTTATGATGTTCGTGGTCGGCCCCAGCCTTTCACAATCCTTCGGGCCTATGGTGCTTCTGAGGTGAGAAGAGATAATATCTTGGTGCGAACACGAAATTAGATCTAGTTTACACTTTTGAGAAGAGATTTGGGTGCTTTTCTTGAGATGCAGCAAACGTATTTCGTTGAGGCTTAGAGGTAGTGGTGGATGCACCGTTTGTATTGTGAGCTTGAATTGTATTATGCATATTATCTTATTGCCTACATATTGTGATTTCTTTATTATTTTGCGATATCCACTGCGCATAAGTTGTGCCTATATTGTCTGTTCTCTCAGTTGCTACAACCTACCGTCACCTTTCAAAAACAATTCTTCTTTTTTGCTGCTAATTATATACCTTCTTCCTAAGCAGGCAGTAACAAGCTTGAGTTGGCAGCGGTCTAATCCAATAACTGTCAAAGATACCAAATCTGCAGAGTCTGCTCTTTTAGGTAATAGCAATGAAGAATCAGTGATTATGCCTGATCCTCTACCAGCTGGCACAAGGGGGCGGACAACGACCGCTGCTCCACCTACTAAAACTAGCAATCGCACAAGCTCATTTTTAAACCAGGAACCTCCTTCAGCTGCTGGTGGGTCTTCAGGATCTCCAAGGCCAAAATCAGCAGGAGGAGACGTGACACCTTACTCTTCGTTGCGTCCATGGGGGAATGGCCCAATTTCTAGACTTCAAACTCCTCGAATAAATTCCTTCAACACTGGGAAAGATGATATGGAAGTGTTTTCGCCTCTTGTTGATGTACAACCCATTACACCATCAGTTACAGGTTATTGGGATGGAGGCGGTGGTGGTGATGAGTCAAGCAGGGATATGGCAACTCCTGGGGGTGACAATAGGAGGGCAAATCGGGGAATCCTCCCGGTTCGCCGGTTTCCTAGTATGGAAGATGTGAAAGAGGATGTACGGGAGTCACGAGATTCAAGCATTTCACGCAGATCTTCTCTAGGAAGTCGACAGGTGCATTGCATTGCCATCGTATCCCTGTAGACCCATTTTTTTAGAACTAAAAGCAGCCTCGATGGAACTGACACCAAAATTCACCTTTAAAATTCTTCTTAGTATGCTAGTTCTGCGTCTTTCCTTTATCTTCAGGAAAGTTTTTCTTGTATCGAAGAATATTTGGTTTTGTTTGGTATGTGGTGCTCTGGGAAGCTATTCTTTGTATGGTGTTACTCATACTTCCTTGTTCTTATGGGACATTGTTTTTGGGTATTTAATGTTGACAGGGCCTTCTCCCTTTTCCTGTTTTCTTGCATAGATTTTAGGTGTACTTACTATGTTTGTTTGGCAGGATGACTTGCATGGAAGATCGTCTCTAGGGTCTCCTGTCGCAACGACTCCTCCTCCAGGAGTATCCAGTAACTCGGATCGGTCTCCATCAGTGACACCTCCTGAAGCGTGGGGTGGCGAGCCTTTAGAAAGGGGCGGGTTAAGGCAACCCACTATGTCCCGGTTTGTTTATCATCACGAATCCTTTATGGTGAATTGCATGCTTGTACTTGGTTGTTTAGGATAACCATTCTTGTTTTTAGGATGTTTCTGGACTTAGTTTTAGTAGAATGCAATGATCTTGTTTCTTGTTTTCGGCAACGTGTGCTATTTAAACCAAGTAACATGATTAAAGTGCATTACTTGACGGGCTTCATGTGGTAATTCTTTCCTGTTTTCTTGTCATATTTACACCTCTCTGGTTCTTTATGAGTTTTGTATAGGTAGGGAATTTTTTTCTTTTGCACGATTATGCTCACAAGATATCGTCATATTCAGTTTCTGCTTTGGCAATTGTGTGATGTGTTGGTTGTGCTTGTTGCAGATTCGCTTCTACAACAGGGCTTCCATCATCCCGATTTGATTCACTGGCTGCTTCTGCAGATAACAAACGTTTGTCTTCTACCAAGAGTGATATCCCGTTGCTTAGAACTTTAGATCAAGAATCGTCTTCACCTCTAACTAACGGTATGACGCATCAGCCAGCGAGCGGTTTTGAAGCAGAAACCATAGCTTCAAACAGAAAACCGTTGTCTAATGAGGCACGGGACACGAGCTCAAACTTTTCACGATCTCCTCCTGGATCTATTCCCGGATCTGCTGGGGATGCAGGATCACCAGGTAAGCCAAGGAAATCAGGGTTGGAGAGACGAGAGGAGGGGGGTGGGGTTTCTGGAAGTTCTGATGGAAAGAAAGAGCGTGAAAATATATTGGCGTTAAGAGCAGCTGCTTTCGCTTTACCTGGGGCTATTCCACCCACATCAAACGTACGTTTTATTTATTTATTTATTTATTTTATTTTTGCTAACGTAGTTTTTTTTATGATATTTATTTATAATGTGGAATAAACGTTCTTGGTTTAGTCCACTTTGAGTGCACAGTTTTTTAATCTTTTTTTAAAATTTTCACTATATCCTCAATCTTACGCTTGGTACAAATATTTTCTGTTTTGGATAGGGCCATACTCAAGGAAGTACGCAAAGAGCTCAATCGTCAGTTGAGCAGCAACAACAGCAGCAAGGGGCAGGAGCCACTGGTTTCGCCCTGCAACTGGTGCAGAGAGGTCTAGAAGAAAGCCTCGGAGCAGTTCAACGTGCAATTCACGAAGAGGTTCAAAGTTTGCATTTAGAGTTGCTTCGACAGTTTCATATTCAGCAGGTAACGTGTTGCTATATCCAGTTTGAGGCGTTTCTTTACATCTTTCTGAGTAACAAGTTAAAGTCAAATGTTCAGTTTTGCCTCCGCTTCAATGACGGCCCTCTCCGTAAAGACAATCATTCTGGTGTTGTGACAACGAGGGACATTCTTCTAATGCGTTTAGGCAAGATATTTTATTGCTGCAGATGGAAATGAGTAGCATGATGGAATCATTTCTAGCAAGGCAGGCGGAATTAGTGGAGGAGATCAAGGCCCTTCGTAGAGAGAACCAACAGCTGCGAGATCTTTACTAATGGTAGTTAATTAATGAGCTAATTATCTAGCGAGCTTTGGGTTTGAGAAAGTTTCCGGTATGCCTAAACCACATGTAACCCTTACGGTACAAATGTATAGAAGGAGAGGCATCGCCATTGTATTCATTATATTCCTGTTAGCGTAGCTTGCTCAAAAGAGTTGAGATTTAGGTTTTCTTGGATGTGTACGAATTTCATGAGATTATATCAAGATGTTGAATTTAGAAAGAGTGGACACTTTAACGTGGACTACATTTGGTGATGGAGAAAACACATTTTGGAGCGGTCCTGGATCTCTGGATTATTCAATCATGTTTAATTTTAAAGCGCCACATGATCTCCTTAAGGGTCAGGGAGTAGCTTGTAACATGAAACGTGCATTGGAGGATTGATTTGATATTCATAGATGTCGAAGTATTTTCATGCTTCAAGTGTGTGTTTGGCTGCCATAAAAGTATTGGAGCCACACTAGCGTTGCGACTGTCGGGATTTTCTTACTGGAGTAATGGAGGCGGTGTCATGTTTCTTTGTAACATTTCTTCTGCTCAATTTCTAATCACGATTGTACGCAATTCAAATCTGACATGGTGATGCGTCTTTTTGATCTCAAGTGTGGTAACCTGCAGTTACAAGACTTCCATTTTTATCACGTGGATTGGCAGTGGCACTTGAAGTCGCTTCTAAAGACATGGATAAATTGATCCAGCAGGCTAAGATTGATTGAGCTTCAATGGAACCAAAACCTTATGGTAATGCTATGCCGAAACGAAACTACGGTCCATCTTTGTGAGTTCGCAGAATGGCACAGATTTCATCACTTGCGGCAGCTCCCCCAATACGTAAAACGATTTCACGTTTTCTGAGTTTCATACAACACCCCTCAATGGTTTTCCGCACTTCATACAACAGACAACGCAAGAGGATAATCCGATCGTATTTCCTTTTGGTAGTATTTGTTTTTGAAATGGGTATTTTTTCCCATCGCGCATGTCACATCATGTAATTTCACAGGATGGTTGGGGGTGGGCAGTTGAGCCATAGCGTTTGCAGGGAGTGCTCGGAACTGGAATATAGAGCTGCTGGGTATACTGTGCTCTGGTGTGGGTGGTGATATGATCTGGCACGGTACTGAGACATTCATCTTCTGATACTGTGATTGCTGCAGTGTCGCTTGTGTCCTTGTTTTGCTCCCTTCGCAGCTTCTTCCGTAAGCTTACGAGTCGGGATGGATGAGAAATGCGCAACCAGAAAGGATATGTAATTAAATTAATGCCCGTCCACAATTGGCGGTCACTCTGCAGACACCCGCAACCCAAGTTTGTGCGCAGTCGGGGAAACCAACCCGAAACCAACCCCAGTCAGAACCGTAGGCGGGTATTATGATACCTATTGTGATACCACTACACCAGCTGCGCCTCAGGAAGGAACCCATTCATCAGCCATCACACAAGACTGCATTCCCTTCGTGTAACCATGTGCGAATTTCTCACACACCGTCCTTGTACATGTCGCTGCAAATGTACTGATCAAAAAATGTATTGATCAAAAACAATTCAACCCCAGCTTCGCATTCTCGCTCCCCGCGACGGGATCCACCGAATGCACAACCTCAGCAATGTTCTGAGGCTTCTCCTTGATTTTCCACCCCTCACCTCACCAGTAGGCTCCAACCAAATGTGCTTTACACATGTGCTTTATTTTCTAGGATCGTATCTCTTGCCATTGAAAGCAACTCACATGACTCCAATGAAAGAAAATAACTAAACAAGTCAAGTAATCCACAAAAACAAATCACAATGCAACAAAAGTCTCCAATAAAGAAAATAACTAGACAAGTCAAGTAATCTGCAAAAACAAACCACAATGTAACAAAAGTTTCCAAAAGCTCAGAGAGAATACAACAACATTAGAAAATAAACATTGCTTTTTACTCAAACATTACATTCAAAGATACAAAAGTTTCTTTTTTTTTTTGGAAGGAGAGTCTCTCAACTATATATAAATAAAAATTGAAGATCTTGCATGCTTTGAATGGAAGTTGATGTTTACAAATGCAATGCAATCTAATTAATTATGATTATAAAAGCATAAGGGGGTAAAGTTCTTTTATCAATGCAACAAATATATTTATATAACAAATAAGGATACAAAAGAACTTAAACCAAATAAAACCTTAAAAAGATATCTATCTATCTATCTATCTATATACGTATATACATAAATAAAATAAAAAAGTAGATTTTATTTCTTATATTGGTATATATACAATATCTATATTATATAAATAAATTGAAGCAAATAGAAATAAACAAAATTAAATATATTCATAATTGGAAGATAATATCTTTGTTAATATACTTTGAGGTAGTTGTTTAGATAAAAATTCCATCTTTAGACTTATATATATATGCTACATGATTATTAAAACATGTCCTACAAGTTCCATACTTTTAGGAACATATCTTGTTAGCAACCTATAACTTGATACTTAGGCCATAAGTCTTATGGTTTCTAAAAAGCTTCTATAAGACCTTCTTGGTAGCTAGTATATATGAAAGTAAGATTAAGACCATCTTCAATCATATGATTGGTTTTAAAGTTTTAATAAGATATATATTTATTTTATTTTAGAAATGAAGACTAATTATAAGATATGCATTTTAAATTTTTTAAAAAACTTGTATTTATTTTAAAAATAATTTAATTATTTAAAAGATACTTTTATTTTAATTAGTAATTATAAATAATAAAAAGAAATTGAAATGTTTGATGTTAATATGTATCTTAAGTTTTTATTATGCAAATCAAACTATATATTTGGAAGGATTTATTTTTAATATTACATATTTTTTAAATAAATAATAGTATTTATTAGAAGTCTTTTTAAGATAATCATATCTTTTATTATAAAAATATTAATGATTTTGAAAAAAATAATTATTTTTATAAGAAACATTACTGATTTATCATAAGAATCACAAGCAATAATCAATTATATTACATGATATTATATGAATTACTAATTAAACAAAGTTTGAAAAAAATGATATTAATTCTTCTATTTCAAAGCAAGAAGAGAAAAAAGATAGATGGAAGTATCATGAAGCTACTTGAGTTGAAATGTGCCATATCCAATTATTTAATTAAAAATATTTTAAATTATAAAATTTCAGAAGCCTTATCTATTAAAAATCTTAGAATTTTTATCTTAAAAAGAAGAAAGCAGAGTTCCTTGGGTCTATCTACCTTTGTGTCTTTGAATTGGATTGTAGAATTTTTTATGCTTTTTTAATTTTGCAACTAGGTATTTGAATCTAACAAGATTTGCAAGATTATAGGAAGTATTGATCTTGATTTGTTTAGTAGGAAAGAGATATGTCTTTGTACTTATGAGGTCTTGAAAGCCATATTATTAAGGTGGAGGCATTCTTGTGTGGTAGTTATAGAGTTGTGTGTTGGAAGACCATTGATTTTTAGAATAATCATGATCTCAAAAAGGATTTCTTTCATAAGATTTCTTATAATTTGATCATTGTCCTTTGTATCACCTAATTTTTGTATGATGGTGATTAAGGTGGGCTTGTATAAGAGCCAATTGGTGTTTAATCCAAGGAAGTATTTGTGGTTATTTGTTGCACTTGATTTGTTGATGTTAATATGTTTAATTATTTAATATTGTGAATCTGGATGTCAAGGATAAGAACTCAAAGAAGATATGTAAATAAGTAAAAAATAAATCAAAGAGAGATGACAAATTAGAATTAAAAAATTAAATATATTTAATAAGAAATTGAAATGACTATTGTTAAAGGCTAGAATATTAGAGACTCTTGAAACTACACTAGAAGCAAGAAAAAAATTAATAAGATTGAAGAAGGCTTCTTTCTTGCCTCTATATATAATATTTAACTAAAAATTATATGACAACATTTTTTAGGATCTCAGATACATGTCCAAATTGCAAGACACATGTTTTAACTTGTAAAGTAAGTTTTTTATATGTGTACCACATAGTTACCTTATTCCACAAGCTTCTAATACATGTAATATGTGATTAACTTGTTGACCAAGTTTGTAACCTATAAACACATGTAAAGTCAAAGTTGCATCTATAAAGCTTCTAAGAAGCTTGTGTAGAATATATTATGAAATTAAACTATTTTTACCTACTTCTATATAATTATATAAGTAATTATTGAAATATATATATATATATATTTATCTGACATTACCCCTTTTGAGAAAAAATTCTAAAAGGAGCCGTCATCATATGTTGAGAAAATCTAAGATGTAATAAATTGTGTTTTCCACATACTATGATCTTTGCTATCTATTTTGGATCTTATTTCTTTTATAACAAAGATTTGTTATTCTTTATCTTTCTTTTGGTGAATGTTGTCAATAAAAAGCTTCAACCTTTTTTGTTGCATTTGCAAGATTTTTTATTGGCTCCCATGTACATTGACAAATATTATATCTATGCTAATAAATAAGATATTTTAACATATTTTGGTGCCGCCTTGAATCTAAGACTTCTTCTACTTTGAATTTTTGATTACTATCAACTTCTATAAAAGAAAGTAGCATTTATCTTTTTTTTGAGATATTTATTCTCTTATATGGCTCAAAAAGAGATGCATAAAATATATGATGGATCTTCATAGACTTCAATAGATATAATTGATAAGCAATAAGATTTACTTATTTATAAATAAAAAATACTCAAAGCTTATGGTAAACTAACTTATCACAATGGTAGCTAGACTTGATATTGTAGCAAAATAATCATACCTTATTATCAATGTGGAATTGAGATTACTCTTTATGATAGGCATTTGTATTGATTTTTCGTCTTTCTTGAACTTTTTTTAATTGTACCTTTATTTTTATATGTAGCATAGATAAATAATTTACCAAATCTTTTGTCACAAGATTATCAACATTTGAGAAGCTATAAGCATAAAATTGTAGATAATAATCATAATTATAAAAAAAAAAAAAGATTTTTACTTAGAAGAATATATTATATTATTATAAGAAAAATCTCTCAATAAACAAATAATTATCTAATCATCTTATTGATAGTTCATGATACATCTTAAATATTGTTCCAAAACTTGATTTATGCACTCTGTTTGTTAATCAATTTAAGGATGAAAGATTGAAGATAGATTTGTCTCTACTTTCAAAATCTTGAAAAGAATCCTCTAAAATTTTGATACAAATTGAGTCTTTCTATTCAATATAATTTCCTTGGGTAATCCATGATAGCCATAGATGTTGTGAAGAAAAAATTTAGCTATTTCTTCACTTGTGATAGATTTAATACATGGTAAAAAATGTGCCATCTTAGTAGAATAATCTACCAT